TCCAAGGACCCACTGCTTCCTACTGGCAACACCCAACACCAACCAGGGGCGTTCGATAAAGAACTCCAGTGTGTTCTTACAAACAGCCAGCACATCCACTTACATGCTGGGAATGCTGCTCCTTAAAATGAGATTCAGAGATTACAAGTAAAATCTTTCTTCACTCAAACACATGTAGCATCTGAGCATCTAAGCAAACATGTCATAAAATCCCTCTTAGTTAATAGCAAATTATGATTTAAAAAAAAACATCGAGAAGAGATTGGCTGGATAGACTTTCACTACATTATCTTTGCAACTAGGCCTGTAGACTTCATTGTTTAGAAAGATACGTACAGAATGGGGACATGGAAGAGAAGGTGACCCAATCTTCTCCCGGCTCTATCCACTGTACTACACAGTTACAACCGAGGACGCTCAGACATGCGGCACTTGGACACACACAGCTATGTTTACAAGTTAGAGGTGAATATGTTCCCAAAGCTGAAGGGCCCTGGGGCTCATCTAGCCCAATGCATTTTATTATTATTATTATTATTACTTTTGTTAATCCTCACCTGAGGATATTTTTCCATTGATTTTTAGAGAGAATGGAAGGGAGGGGGAGAGATAGAGAGAGAAACATCAATGTGAGAGAGGCACATCGGGATGGAACCTGCAACCAAGGTATGTGCCGTTGGCCGGAATGAAATCTGGGGCCCTTCAGTCTGCGAGCTGACGCACTGTCCACTGAGCCAGACCAGGGAGGGCCCAATGCTTGCATTTTACAGGTGGGAAATGTGATAGAGCGGCAGTAGCACTGGAGGTGGAGCTGGAGACCCGAGGTTTAGTTCTGATTCTTCCACCAATTAGCACTGGAGCTGGAGTGACCCCCAGAGTCCCACTGGGATGTAACAAAGAAAGATCATGTCACAGTGGGAATTGTGGCTACAGGCCACCCTGGCTTTTTCTGCTCAACTCGTATTCTGGATCCAACTTGAGCTCTTGACTTGTCTGAACATCCTAGCAATTGTATAAAATTACAATTTTTCTTCAGGATCCATTTTAAAGAAAAGCCCAAGATACAACTAGGGTCATTACGGCCCCAAGAGAAGATTCCTGTATTAAAACCAGGCTGGCGGCTAGCACTCCTCTTCACATGAACTATATTTAAAGCACCGAAGGCCATCATTTTCCTTCAGCATGACCGCAGGGTGAGTTCTCCCAGGGAGCACCAGCCTCCACTGGTGTTCCTTTCAAAGATGGCACCTCGTATTACACACTTCATTTGATACATCTATGCGCTTCCTTTCTAATAAGAAACTTTGTGGATATTTTTTCCCCCTGACCTTCATCTCAATCATCTTTTTCAATCTACTTTCCTGGTACAGCCTGCAGTCCCATCATAAACCCTCAGCAGCCAGATCCCAGCACAACTCGGCTGCTGGCGGCAGTGTTGTCATGGCAACATCTGTCAGCATTAGCTCCAGACTTTCTTTAAAAATTAAAGTCTGCCGCAGAAATGCCACAGTTAATGAATTTTTGGTTATTCTGGCCTTTAAGGTCATGGAAGAACATCTAATAGCAATGCATATTAAAACATTAACCTTTTAGTTGGAGATTTATTTGCAAAGTGTGTGGGAGAAGTGTGTGGGACGAGCGGATTTGCCTTTTGAAGCAAAGGTAAATGTTGTGTACTGCAAACTCAGGGGACCGAGCAAGTACTGGTTGATAAAGTAGCCATTAAGAACAACCTCAGTCCTAGCTGGTTTGTCTCAGTGGATAGAGCGTCAGCCTGTGGACTGAAAGGTCCCAGGTTCGATTCCAGTCAAGGGCATGGACCTTAGTTGCGGGCACATCACCAGTAGGAGGTGTGCAAGAGGCAGCTGATCGATGTTTCTCTCTCATCGATGTTTCTAACTCTCTATCCTTCTCCCTTTCTCTCTGTAAAAAATCAATAAAATATATTTAAAAAAAAAGAACAACCTCAACGGGGGAGGGGGTCATTACTTATAGAATGTGGAACCATCTGGAGGAGCAGCAAGTGTTGGTTTTTAAAATGCATCTTGCAGATACACTGGTAACATGTTTGTGTAGGACCAACTAAAGGCAATGTCAGCCGTTGGGGGAATAAAACAACAAACACAAATGTAATAACTAAACTTTTCTTGAAAGCCCCTGGTTTCTTTGTGCACCACGGCTAACATTTCCTGTGTTTGAAATTACATTGGCCTCTTTCAAAAAAAAAACACACACACCACAAACTTCACCTTCCATAAAATGAATTCTGTCAAGACTCAAAGTAATAACTGTGTGGTGACATTTCAGCGGCAGAAAGGATGGCCTCGAAAGGCCATGCCAATCCAATCCTGACTAATGACAGCTACAGCCAGCCTCTTAATTGATGCTTGGGACACAGTGGAGATTTTTATGGTTTTACAACCAAACATCACACATCTAGCAATGCAAGAGAGCTTCCTTAGAAAACATAGTTTTTAATGTACCTTCGGTTACTGTGACCAGAAGAAGCTGTAAGTCTACATTAGAGAACAAAAATACATTCTATATGATGTTACTTTCTTAAGTAGAAGAGAGAGCATGAGGAAGGATTGACTTCATCCAAGGGTGCCAATTGTAAAAACAGGGAAGAGAGCCACTTTTAATGAGCTTAGGAAAATGGAACTGCTGTAAGCTGCCCCCTTTATTATTATTTTTCAGTCGATACGAGGATGAAAAAATAAACATTTTCTCGCTGGAGAGGGGGGCTCACATAGTGAGCTCTGTATGTGCTGTCTTACATCATCTCTGGGTCTCAGCAGGTGCCTGAGTCCTTCATACGACTTTCCAATTTGCCTTGTACTTCACAAGGAATCTAAAATTTTTATTTTTTTCTGAAGTTCACCTATCTTTAGGGGATAAGATTTTTGAGAATGAAGAATTCTTCCAAATATCTATATACCCAACATTAAGGAAGCTGGTTTTAGTGATGGTTGGTGCTTGTACCATAAAGTTTATTAAATATTTTAAATATCGCCTGTGGTTAAAAAGTTTATAATCTTTATATAATAGTCGATATGATATAGTAGGTACTTGGTAATTGGTAGCTAACAATATTATATTTTGGAAAAACAATGAACTTGGATTATGAAAAAAACAAAAACTTAGAATGGGTGTGAGAGGGGATCATGGAGAATCAACTGTCAAGCTTGTATTTAACACATGAACTTGTCTATTTCACATCTCCAATCTATAGCACAACATCAAATACCCTTGTTCAAAATCATGGGCATTATGAACAGTAAGCCTTACATTGAATAGTCTGGGTCATGGAATCAATGTGGTTTAAAAGCACAGGTGAAGATGAAGTCTGGGCTGCTATTCAAAATAAAAATTTGATGAGAATTTTTCAGAATTGAAGTAATTTATAAATCAATATCTGAACCTAACCAACATCTCCTTAACTCCCTGGTATCATCCATATGCTCATATATATATATATATTGATTTCAGAGAGGACAGGAGAGGGAGAGAGAGATATAGAAACATCAATGATGAGAGAGAACCATTGATCAGCTGCCTCCTTCACACCCCTTACTGGGGATTGAGCCCACAATCTGAGCATGCGCCCTGACTGGGAATCGAACCGTGACCTCCTGGATGCTCAACCACTGAACCACACCAACCAGGCTCCATACAATTTTAAAATCAATTATCTTCTTAATTAAACTGTAGTCAAAAATCCAACTGTGTCTTTCCCTTCCTCTGTTAAGGCTAAGGTGGGTGGACAGATCCTATTCTGACACCAGGTGAAATGCCCCATTGGCATTGGGTTACTGCGATCTCGCGTAATTAAACTGTAGTCAAAAATCCAACTGTGTCTTTCCTTTCCTCTGTCAAGGCTAAGGTGGGTGGATAGATCCTATTCTGACACCAGGTGAAAATGCCCCATTGGCATTGGGTTACTGAGATCTCGCATGATTCTGAGAGTGACAGTTCAGAAGCAGGGAGTCAGCACTCCCCAGCCTAAGTCCGGCCAGAGGCACTTCCAGGAGGAACTCAGTCTGCAGGATGCATTTCTTGTTTCTCCTCCAGGACTTGGTCCAGTCTATGTCTTTCAATGGAAAATAAAATTATGTTTCTTGAGTCATTCTTCATTTGTATTTTTCATCACTATCTTGCCCTATTATTTATTTTTCTACTAATTAATAAACTGTAGATTTGACAGATGACCTACTCTTTTTCCCAGCAAAATGACCTAAAATACCAACAGCAAGAAACACCACTTTCATTTCTCTAGCTATTTCATCCAGGCTATGTAATGTTGGGAAACAGGGAGATTGGCTGCCTTCTGTGAACAGATTCTATAAAGGCTGTAGTAAACGGCACCCCGATTAAAAGTCTTGGGAGACATTTTAACTGCATTTCATAAGTAAGTGTTTCACTCCCCATCGGTATTTTGAATTACATTTTCCTTGGTATTAGTTTATGCTTTCACAGGTGTTACACAATCCAATTCCACATGGTGCATAAAGAGCTCATCCCAGTTTGCATGAGGTGTGGTTTCATTGGCCTTAACCAACCTACACAGCTAATATTGTAAGAAATCAATATGTAGACGCAACCAACGAAATTATTATCGTTCTGTTTACCACCTGCAGGTTGGTCTCTAATTGAAGGCACATCTCTAGCAGTCACAGGTAGAGCACCACATTAATACTAGTAGTTTTGGTTATTTGCAATTTCTACAACCTACCTACCACGAATGGGAGAGTATCAGAAAGAATCAAGGCACCCTTCCTTTTTAAAGAAGGTAGATAAGATCAGCTCTCTGGATATCTTTCTTTTCAAAAATAAAGGAGAATAGAGTTTCACGGTCAAAGGAACAAGGTTATTTGAACCTGTCAGGTATGGAGGTGATTTAGCACAAGTGAAGCATGGATGAGAAGGGAGAAATGGGATCATGAGATGAGCATGGCTGTGGCAGGGGTGGCTGGCGGTGGGTGGAGGGAGGTGGTGCTCACCACTGCCCTCTCTGGCTCCTCAGCCTGGGTGTCCTCAGCAGGTGCAGCGGCAAGGGGCTCCTCTGCTTTCGGCTCTGCTGGTGGAGCCTGTTCAGACTCAGCCTTTCATTGTTTGTTTTGAGAGTTAGAGGAAAAAGATGCAACATATGAATAGATAGCAGTACAGAATATTGGACAATTAAGATTTTCTTTATCATCCCACAGGCAGCTAGCTTCACCAAATCTGTGCTGGGAAAAAGCCCTACACTTGGCATCATGGGCCTTTACCGAACTGGAAAGTCTAGGAATGAACGCTACCAACTTCTCTCTTTTTTTTTTTTTTGCCATCATTGAGGACTGTCATTTCCCTTGAAGTTAGGACAAGACTTACCATTTTGGCTATTCATTTTACTTACAATATTTAGGCTACTCACTTCCTATGGCATCTGTAAGAGATGCTCAAATGGCACCTTGAGTCACCACTGCCAGCTGGGAGAGTGAGAAAAAGCTCACAGGGCACACACAGTTCTGGGAACGCCCAGCTCTACCGCTTTGCGTTACACCAGAAAATGGAGGGGTCATCCCAACATGTAGATCAAAATGCATTAACTTGCACAGGATAGTAATCTCCGTGGTATCCATTAGACCTTTCTAATTGTGTGGAAAACAGGGAGGTTTTCATCCCTGTTGCATAGACATCATCCTGATTCCAGCTCCTACAGTCTCTTAGCTCTAGACTGTTTTGGTTTTAAAATTAGCAATATTAAATAATAATGGGCCGTTAAAAACACCACAGCCAGTGCATGTTACTATGGCTACTGAAATTGTTCTCATTTTCAGTTCTGATTAATATAAATAAGCATATTTATTTAGCAGGACTTTTTTTTTGATTGCATGGGTGGCCATTTGAGGGCACATTAAGATTTTTTTCCATCAGAACATTTAAACTGTAAGCGTTTTCAAGTGTTTTTTAGGGGACCAAGAAGTCACCAGTAAATACTCTGAGTGGAGAAATCAGTAACTCTGTCAGATACTCACCATAAGCAATCAAAAGTCACCTTTAGCTCTATGCCCCCACCTAAGCTCATCATGACAAGTTCCATGGGGAAGTGATGGGGAAGTTATGCTGAGATTAGAGGAAATGAATAATGAATAGCTTAGTGTTAGATAAACAAAGTATTTGTCTTGTGGCCCCCACCAAATCCTCCACTGCGATGCACGCCATGATCACAATGCCTTTCTCTTTAAAGGGCAGAATAAAAGGAAGGACACATTGGTAGATAAGTGTGCCGAAATTTGATATTTTATGTGCTTTTATAACCTTTAAGAGGTATTCTAATACAATTTTTAAGAGAGAATAAAATAAAATTCAACTAATCTACTCTCAGAAGTTCCTTATGGGAAAAGATTTCTCTCAAAAGAATGACCTTCATAATGGAACAAGTTTTCATAGCAGCAGATCCTGTACGTCAAGATGATTGTCTTTGAGAGCATGCTATCAAATGACCTGCACACGAAGGACAGGCAGGGCGACCTGACAAACCAGGAAGCGTTCTACCTGCAGGTGGGCTGTCCCTCTGGGAGCTGATTCTATGAGATGAAGAAGTCTGAAGCCCGACGCGGAGCCAAGAGAAGTTTCAAAGGATGAGTTAAATACATACCATTGTGCCTTAAAAATAAAAGTTAAGATAGCTTAAAATGAATAAACGATTTGCATCAGAGCCTGGGTTTCTTGGAAGTCTGAAGTAGCTTTATGTGAGGCAAGATAAGTAGGGTGAGTTTATAAATGAGTCGAATTGCATTTGCTTGCTGAAATCAAACAACGCAACAGAGGCATAGCATGAAGAGGACGTCAAACTAAATATGTCCCCACAAGTCACAACATTTCCCCTCTAATATCACACCAGTATTACAACATGGCATTGCAACTTAACACCTAAAATTCAGGGGGGGTAAGTGAATATAACTCACTGAATGATGAGTAAGGATGAAACAGGATACAACATGACTGTACATAAAATCAGCTACTCAACTTTGGAAACACAAGTCACCCTTCTATTCCTTCTAAGGTAATGTAAAATTGTAAATATTCTGTCAAGATAGAAAGGAAAACCCAGGCAAAGTGGGAATGACATCTCAGAAAAAGATCTAAAACAGGCATCAGAATTGTGCCCTCGTTCAACCCCTTTCTCCTATAGGCTGAATCCCTTGACAGACATTGCAAATGGGCGGAATCCTTGCCCTCCCCAGTTAGGAGCACTGGTAATGATTTCCTATCATTTGCTCAATTAGCCATCATCATACATTAGAGGAGAGGATACTCTTCACATTTATTAAGGCAGCAGGATGCCGCAATGGTTTAATTCAGAGTCTCAGAAATGGAAATATTCCTTTAGAACAAAACTAGTTGTGTAAACTTGGCCCAGACTTTCTGATCTCCTCTGTGAGAAGACGGAAGGTGAGTCAATGCAGAGGAAGAGGGATGGATCAAAGATGGGGCTAAGAGTCTAGTCACATTCCAACATGTCATTTGCCTTCTAGTCTTACTTCTCCAATCTTGGGAGAACTAATGTTGTGAGAACTGCAAAGGACCAAGGAGGCAATTCTGAGCCCCGGGCAAGGTGGGAAGATTCCAAGGGTTTAAACCAGCTCTCAAACAATGTGCTGTGGGGCTGTGCAATGCAGTCTGGGAAGGTGTGCCACTGACTACCAACCTCGCTCAGAACAGCCAGTGATCAAATGCTGGGAAACTGCCCTGCACCTGGGAACATCCTGTATAATCACATCTCACCAGGAGATGTAGGTTCACTGTGCTTTCCTAGTTCCCCACAGGGAGAGCCAATGCCTGCAGCACATGCAACGCTCGGCATGACAAGCTGGGTTCCCCAATGGAAAGAAGGTGCAAGATACCTGCTTCAGAGACTACATATCAAGAGAAGGGAAGGGCAGGCAAGAAGTTCCTTGAACCAGCGGTCGGCAGTAGGAAGATGCTCAGAGAAACTTTAAAAACACTGGGTTCTATGACTGGACTTTTTTTTAAATTAAAAAATATTTTTATTGATTTCAGAGAGGAAGGGAGAGGGAGAGATAGAAACATCAATGATGAGAGAGAATCATTGATTGGCTGCCTCCTGCATACACCCTACTTGGGATCAAGCCCACAGGCATGTGCCCTGACTGGGAATCAAACTGTGACCTCCTGGTTCATAGATTGAAGCTCAACCAGTGAGCTACACCAGCTGGGCATCAAAGTAATAGGTGTAAGTTTATGATGCATTGTCTTTCCTTTATACCAGTATTTCCCCATTTTTCTTAACCCATTCACAACTGACAGTGAAAAATCTCATCCTCCAGTATCAGTATCATCACCCAGGCTGAGAACCACCAATAAACATAAAACATGAGTCTTTCTGGTGCCATTATTAACACCAATGTAATTTGTATTTTAAATATTTCAATCTTTATTTGAAAGCCACACAGACTCTACCTTTCATTTGGTTACCCAAAAGGCAGAAGTATGACAATCCATGACAAGCTATTAGAGACACACTTGCCTTTGAAAACATATCAAATGAACTGTTAAGACAAACTTCTCAGAATAAAATTCCTTACTTAGAAGTATAGTCATCTAAAACCAAAAATTCATTCTACTTAAATCCAATTCCAAGCTCCCAGTGTAAAAGCCAGGAGCTGGGATACTTATATACTTTTTCCATGGAAAGCCAGTGAGCTACAAATAGCCCTTGTGTACTAATCCTCAAAGATTCAAAATCCTCTGTAGTATATCAATGACAAACTGACAAGTGATATAACTCAAATTTCATCATTTAACTTAATTACTGAGCTAGAAATGCTAACTGCAACATCCATCATGTAGGATTTCCTCAAAGATCAAGAGTAACTCTGCTTCCTACTCACTCTCTAGCTAATCTTTTCTTTCATCTCATCTCTTGTCAAAGTAGGAATCACGTCTCTACAATGCATTACTCCGACAATTCGCAAAAAGACCGGAGATAAGAAATGAGGTAGCTTCAGGTTCAAGAAAAAGCAACGATCTATTGTGAAACATGAATTCCTGAGGTGATTTCATTTTCAATCCTGTAGCTTAAGTTATATTCACGCGGAAACATCCATGTCCTTGATGGATTGATGGGTCCCACTGAAGCCTGTAATTAGGAGACCGGATTTGTGCAATCTCTGTGACTTTATAAATAGAAGCAGCCACATTCAAAGTCACACTGAGATTTTTCAGAAGCTTTCCTTCCTATTTTCTAGAAAAGAGGGGCTGTAGAAACTACATTCTGAATATTCAAGCTCCAGATAACTTAGATTTATCAACCTTAGAACATTCGGTAGTAACTATCAACTTCCCCAAAACACAAACCAAAATCAACTTACCAAGTTGCAGATTATATTCTGGTCTGTCTGCATTGTAAATAAGGAAGTGTCCTGGGGCTGAAAATCAAGGAGAAAATAAAAGATTAAAAGTATTGAGGTTCTAGCTAATTTGCTATAAAACAACGAAGATATCATTTAAATTAGTTCTCATCAACTGTGTCAATAAGCACACTATAAAGTTTTAAAAAGTCTCTGTATTATAGTCAGAAAAGCAAAAAAATGAAAAGAGTAATTTTAACAGTAGTTATTCTAAATATAAATCTGAGCTAGCAGAATATGAGGCTATGACGAGAGACATTAAATAAAGGGCAGTGTCCTCAGGGGTGTCTTTGGTCTCCAGCTTGTCCTCTGGACATCTATACCGACTTAGAATTTAGTGGCTGTAAACCACAAATTTAAACTTTTCAAATGTTGGAAACTCAATCTTATTATCATACCTAAGTGTGACTTCTACAGGTTAATGATGAGCCATAACTTAAAAAACTTCAAGACTTGGGCACTAATAGCATTTATATCTTAACTATAATATTGCCACAGATTGTCCGGATGGCTATGGTGGAACAATATCAGAGGAAGGGCATGAAGCAGAGGGCGGGGGGAGAACTGTGGAGGTAGGAGGATGAAAGTGTTTTTATGTCCTTACCTTCCAGAGAAATGAGTCAATAGATAATGCTTTAGAAATCAAAGAGTAACATTATAAGAAAGTCATGCATCCATATGGGGGGGAGGAGGGATGGGTGATGTGAAACCAGAGAATCTGTTTAAAAAAATGTGGTGAAATATTTACCTCAAAGAAGCAGGAAATGGAGAGGGAATATGATGATCAGAAATTTTTAAAGAAAAAACTCTTATAGCTCCACCTGTGTGGCTCAGTGGTTGAGGGTTGATCTATATGACCTGGGAGATCAAAGTATGATTCCTGGTCAGGGCACATGCCCAGGCTGTGGGCTCGATCCCCAGTAGGGGGCGTGCAGGAGGCAGTCGATCAATGATTCTCTCTCATCATTGATGTTTCTATCTCTCTATACCTCTCCCTTCCACTCTGAAATCAATAAAAATATTTTAAAAGGAAAAAATAACCCTTATAAAATTTTGTACTCTTTAACTGATAAAAATAAAAAATTTTAAATGAGAAATGAATAATTCTTATGACTCAAACTTTCAAGAGTTGTATGCAGATGGAAGCGATGCACAATCCTTTCTCTATGTCTGTATCTGTATTTGGGTGTGGGTGTGTGTGAGTGGGTTTTATCTTTTTATAGGTAACAAGGGGGAAATTAATCAAACTTTTGAATGAAGAAATTCTAAATGTTAAAATTTGAAATTTTTCATGTCTAATATTCTGAGACAAAGCCTTAATCACAGACAAGCTTCTGTTTGAAGTCTCCCTTCAAGGTTTCCAGACCTTAATCCACGAGCGCCATTGCCATGTGGTCTGCCTGTTATGTGGGTTACAGCTGTGCATCTGGCAGGACATATACAGTGAATGGGACCGTCCGTCTTGTGGCTCCTCTCCCATGGATTTGCAAGGAAAATACTGCCTTAGAGAGCCAACCTATGATATCTGATCTTCCACTTGCTCCTTTCTGGAGAACCATTGAAGAGGGATGGGTCTGTGTAGTATGTCTCATATGAATCTTTATAAAAAGGCTCCTAAAATGTATCATATTTTCTAAAAACCAGTTTCATCAGTTCAAAAGGATCCCATCTCCTCTTTTCAAACAGTTGAATCTAGTGGATCTCTCAGATCAGGCCAACTTCGATTTTCTAGTAGAGGAATCAGTAGAAGGCAGGAGCCCACAGTATAGCTAATAATATTAATAATAGCTAACTACAGTCATGGAAGACTCAATGCTGGACATATCCCATTTAATAGTCAAAACACCCGTACAATGTTGAAAATACTACTGTTTCCATTACTGAATTTGTAAGTAGTGGAATTTTGTGCTGACACAATCATTACGCCATACCAGTGACACTAAGGTCCTTGTTTTAAAAATTTGCATTATTCTCAACAGATGGATTTTGCCAGCAAGTTGATTACTTACCTGGGTGAATCCATTAAATGAACCATCAGAAGCCTAAACAGAAATAGAAATCAGAGTACATTATTTTTTCATCAATTTTGTAGGATCAGTGAATGCCCATTAGATAAGTTGGAAAATAATGACCACCATAATTTTTAAAATAATATAAGAGGTGTAAGTGCTTAGGAAATGTAAAAGGCTGAACTGTATTATTTTAAATAGGCTGACCAAAAAAAAGAAAGCTATTTTTACAATTAATGCTGGTGTATGGCTCAGTGCTAACAAAAAACCACTTGCTTAATAATGAGATTATTCTGGAGAAGAGCCATAAGGCATTAAATAGCTCTTTTTCCCCCCAGGATATTGATAGAATCTAGAAGAAGCATTTTTAGTATTTTTCTAACACATCATTTTGTTAGATTTTTTTATGACACCTGTCACTAGATTCTAGTTTTAGGCTTGGATAGAAACATTTCATGTGTACTTATTGGGGTAACCACTTAGAAACAGTAAATTAGTATGTTCTACATATTTTTCACAATTGAACAGTAAAAATAAACAATAAACAGAGTAAACGGATAAATAGACTTTCATTAATTCCAACATAATCATTGTTTTTCTTGTTCTTTCTTTTTTTAAAATATATTTTTATTGATTTCAGAGAGGAAGGGAGAAGGAGAGAGAGATAGAAATATCAATGATGAGAGGAATCATTTATTTGGCTGCCTCCTGCATGCCCCCTACTGGGGATCGAGTCCACAACCCAGGTAATTGCCCTTGACAGGAATCAAACCTGGAACCATTCAGTCTACAGGTCAATGCTCTATTCACTGAGCCAAACCAGCTAGGGCGCTTTCTTTCTTTCTTTGGTCAACCTATTTGTGTTTGGTTTGCACAGATTTCAGGAGGTAAGAGGTACATGAATGACAGTCTGTCAGGGAGATAGGCAGGCCTCAGAGAAGACAGTGATGGACAATGAAGTGGGCAGGAAACATTAGGAAAAATAGAACCTACAGAAGTCTTTGTCTAGTCTATACTACATACTGGGTAAGTACCTCTTCTTTATCAGCCCCAATTTCTTGGTACAACAATCCATATCTCTGATTAGCAATTTCATCTTCAGATAAATCTGAGTTGTTGTTGCCATCATCTTGGGGACTAGTAGAACTCTCGGTGCTAACATTCTGGGAGGTTCCCAGAAACAAAAGTCTAACTGTCTCTTGGCTTTGTTCCCAGCAGCTATCAATGGCTTGTTCCTCACATACATCTGCCAGTAAGTCCACTTGCAGCCCTTTCTTGCTCTCAACTATATCTAAATGTTCCCAGAATTTATCTAAGCCTCCCATATCACGGATAAGCCAGTGGTTAAGAGAATCAAGACAACTGGCAAATCCACTTGCTTGTCCATCTGGTCTACCAGAGAATTCCAATATATCCGTATTATTCATTGCTGAATCCAAAGTTGGCTGCAAGATTTGACCTGGATCTGTTCCCCAAGAGTCTGTTTTCGCGATTCGTGGCAAGTTAATGGTATGACTACAGTTCCCAGTCACTGTACTTGTAGACCCCTCTATTAATGAATCTTCTGCCTTACACAAACACCAGTCTCTTCTGTTTGCATTCATCTCCAGAGCATAATTAAGATCTGTCCTAGACCGAGCTGCCAATTCATGTTTCATTGATAAATAAGCAGCCTGATTTCCATCCCTATCATCTTCAGATGCATGTAACACAGGCTCACATTGAATCTCTTCAGCATCTGTACCCCCCTGTGCTGAATGATATATCGTAGCATGGTTAGGAGGGTCTACTAAATTTTTCTTTATAGCTTTTCTAGATAAATCCCATCCCTCAGGGCTGGCATCTTCAATATTATGCTCAGAGTCTGTCTGGAGAGGCAGATTCAAACAATCTGTGTGATTGCCAGGCTTGCCTCCTGAGCCTTCTATAATTTCACAATTACTTGTTATTACTTGAATCCTCTCATCTAGCACTTTGTCTCTGTCAGTAAATTCATCTGCCATGTCTTTTTCTGATATGTCAATTTTCTCAAAATACCTTTCATTGGTCTTTACAATTTCCTTACACCTAACTCTTAGATCTTTCCTAGTTTCCTCTTCACTGATTTTTAAGGTCTCCTGGTCTCGCTTTCCTATTGTCTTAAGAAGATCAACCATCCCGCTTCCTGTACTTTCACACGCTTTCTCTTCACATCCCTCTGTACCTTCTAGTGTCTTGATAGCAATAGCTCCAATGTCTACCTTTCCACATGTCTCCACACCTGCCCACACAGAATCTTCTGTCTTCTGTTTCTCTTCCTCTTCTTCTGACTTTTTAAGATCTTCTTGACTTTCGTTGATGAGGCCACCAGTTTCCATGGCTGGCATCTCTGAGTCAGGTAAGTCATAAGGCTGCTCCGTCTCCATACAAGCAACAATGGCACATTCAGCCTCAGGCATGGGCTTTGGGGACAGTTGTCCATCTCCACATGGAGGGGCTGGCCCTGGGACATGCTCCCCCTGTTCGGCTACAGTGTGCCCGTCAGCAGAAGGAAACATCCCGGTGGGTAATCCCATGTCTTGCTCTGCTTCAGAGAGACATGCAGAGTCCTCCTGGGACCCACCGTAGGTAGTTTTCTGGCTGACTCTCTCTGTACTAGCATCAGGGCCCCAAATAAATGCGCCTAGGTCAATCTGAGATCTTTGAATTTCTTCGGCCAACCCACTCTCTGGAGTTTCCTCCATGACCAGGTTACACAAGGAAAGACTTTTTGAAGAGTCAGTCTTTAGAGTATGCAGAACAGCAAAGGAAAAAAAAAACACAAGATGAAATAGATCATGGTAAGAGTTGATGAGAAACACAAAGTTCTTTAGTAGGGTAGCACCAGTTAAACAAAACTAGAGAGTATTAAATTAAATAAGTGGCTTAAGGTTACATCTGTGACTAGCAATGCCACAAGAAAAAAAAAGCTTATTGTAGGTAATATACCATGTATATAATGCAGATTAAATTTTTTAAAATCCAGAATTTTCTGGATATTTACCTACCGGCTGGACCAAATCAGCGCTTGTCTGTATAAGTAAAAAAAAAAAAAAAGTAATAATAAAAATCGTAAGACAAGAGAAAAAAAAATTTGCTCATACATTAAAATCCCATGCTCTCCAGAGTCAATGTTCTGCTAATGGCTGTGGCTTTCACTGGTTTGAGATGAAATTTTATAGGAATGAGTTCGGTCCCAATACTGTCGAGATTACCAGTATACCACTGAAACATACAGAAAGCCTCTGCCATTTTCTAGTATCAGCAACGTTTTATGGCTATTCCATGACTGTTGCTCTAGCAGACTCTGAAATACAAAGTTTCACATAAATCAGCATGAGAACAGCAGCAAGCTCTAGCAACCACGAAATTACCCAGCACCACCTGCTCTGAGACAATATCAGGGTAAAGTCTTCCCCAACCAGCCTGCACTTGGTTCTGCCTTTGAGGTGGTTTTTGGATGGAGGATGATCTGATACTAGCTACTCTGACTGCCTGGAGGGTTCTCCTCAGGTTCTCCCCGCATCCTACGAGCTTTGTCTGGATACAAAGAAACAACACTGGGGAGTGGAGAGGATCAAGAAATGGAGTAATTATGTCCAGGGAGCTATTATTTCGCAATCTTGTCACTTCTACCATTTCTAGCAGGTTTACCCTCCAAAATAGTCAATATTCATTATAGATGATACTTTCCCCCTCACCATATCCTTTCCAGGCAGGGAAAGAAAAATATGATATAGCTCCAACTAAAGATACGAAATACTGGAATAACAAAAAAGTAGCATTTTCCTCTTACTCTCCATGAAAATTAACACAAAGTTGAGACTAGAATTCAAATGTCCTGAATACCAATCCATGCATCCCTTTTTGCAAATATACAAGTCAAACATTGTATAGCTATTGTCTTAAGAGCTTCCCCTGATGCTTTAAGGATCCTACATAGACTATAACCCTGCTCCTGCGGCAGGGACTGGGATAGCCAGGGTTTTGTTTTTAGGGAAGAAAGTAGCAATGCCACTTTGGAAGCCCAAAGGCTCATGAAGAGCTAGATCTTCCAAACTTTCCTGTTGCTGTATCACTAAAAAAAAAAAAAAAAAGAAAGAAAGAAAAGAAAACATGAAACTCAAGTTGAGTTCTAAAGACGAAATGACCAGAGCTGTTCTAAGACAGCGTAGTAGACCAAGGCTCTAGCCCAAGGGATGTGAGGCTCTGTATGGGTGTAGCCAATCTTCTAATTTCATACCACAGAGGCTGCCATCACAAAGCTCTGTTTGCATCTTTTTCTCAACTCTGAATTCTGGAAGCATGCATCCTTGCACTTCTACCTTTTATTGATACATCCAGACACTGGGCTAAATATTCTACAAACAGTATCTCTCTCAATCCTCACATAACACTCTGCAGTAGGTATCATAAGGTAGGTATCCCTTACTCTACAGATGAGAGAAGCTGAGGCTGAAAGACTTTTAGAAATTGCTCAAAGTCCTATTGCTATAAGTAATAGAGTCTGGACTCAAATCCAGGGTTGTCTGGCTCTGAAGCTCAAATTCTTATTGCTTATGCTTCATTAAAAAGAAAAATGAGGCCCTAGCCGGTTTGGCTCAGTGGATAGAGCGTCAGCCTGCGGACCAAAGGGTCCAGGGTTCGATTCCAGTCAAGGGCAGGAGGCTCCTCCCCAGCCCGGGCCTGGTCGGGGCTCATGCAGGAGGCAACCAATCTATGTGTCTTTCTCACATTGTTATTTCTCTCTATCTTTTCCTCTCTCTTCCACACTCTCTAAAAGTCAATGGAAAAATATCCTTGGGTGAGGATAAAAAACAAAAGAAAAGAAGAGAAAATGGTTCCCTATGCAGAGTAGCCAATGCTTTACATTTTCCCATTTATACTTTTCTTGCGCTCTATAAGCAATAACCAATGTGCACATCCTTCACTACAGCACTTCTTCTAGTCACCAATAATCCCAGGAAGAAGCATCAAGGGGCATCTCAAACTCTTGCTCATCCAGGAGTCTGGCACATGGGCACCCTTCTCCTCACCATTATTTCTAGTGTTGGTAATACCTGGGACCATCAGGGGACTCCATCATTGTTTAAAATGTTTGGGCCTTCTTTCCATTACAGATAAAATAAAATATAACAAGGTTTCTAAATGTCCAGGGAGCCAGATACATCAACATATAGAATTCTTAGCACTCTTACCGTCCATAAGTCCCAGGGCAATGTCTGAAAGCAAAGAGACAAAAATACTGTTAGTATACAAATCCCACGCATGTAACAATTACTGAGATGATAAATGATCTTGAAATAAAATAATAAGCATTTTGAAGCATTTAGGACAGCACTGTTCAATAGAACACTCTTTGGTGATAACAACGTTCCCTATCTGTGCTGTCCAATATGGTAGCCACTAGTCACATGTGGCTACTGTGAACTTGAAATGTGCTAGTGTAACAACCACATTTTTCATTTTACACAATTTTATTTTATTTAAATTTAAACAGCTAAATGTGCCTCGTGCTACCATATTGGATAGCGCAGTTCTACCAATATGCCTTTTGCTATACAAGTAGGAAACTGTATCTGAAACATGGTGAACGGGATTACTTTAATACACACACATATCAAATGATGTAAACAAGGTATCTAGATACCTGTTTATCACATCTTCGAGGAAATGTGCAGATCCTAATTATTGCTAATGCTATTTCCTCTTTCCCCTACACCCGTGGTCTGCAAACTGCGGCTCTCGAGCCACATGCGGCTCTTTGGCCCATTCAGTGTGGCTCTTCCTAAGCCTTAGGAGTACCCTAAATAAGTTAATAACAATGTATCTACCTATATAGTTTAAGTTTAAAAAATTTGGCTCTCCAAAGAAATTTCAATTGTTGTACTGTTGCTATTTGGCTCTGTTGACTAATGAGTTTGCCGACCACTGATCTAGACAAGCTTCGACTAGGCTGACTGGGCACTTCAAGTCTCTGCCCCGTATCTGTTCCATGCCAGTAGCTACCTCAGGAATGTCCTCATGGAGATGACAGAAGCACAAGAAAGAGCAAGGCCTCCCGAGGTGTAGACTTAGAAGCAGCATACTTGCACTTCTGCTTCATTCTATTACCCAAAGCCAGGCACATGGTCAAGTCCAGAGACAGAGGCAGAGGACACTTCAAAGTTAAATGCCCAAGGGGGTGGATGCAGAGAGGGTAAAAGATCATCTAACCCATCAGCAAGATCTATCAATTCTACCTTAGAAATACTTTCCACACCTGTCCAATACTCCTTCTATCTTATTGCTACCACCACTTCAGTTCACCATGATCTCTCTTACCTATCACCACCTGACTGCTCTGTCCAAATCTTTCTTGTCCATTCCTTCTCAGACCATTCTCAATGCAGCAACGAGAATAAACTAAAAAAGAACACCTGCTCTGACCACTCATTTAATTAAGTCTGCCAAATGGTTTCCTATTGTTCTCAGGATTAAGGTGAAAATCCTGAGTAAGGCCTGAATTGTTTTCAATTTTCAATTGAGGGGTTATTTTAAAGCAAATAGGTGAACCTGGTGAAAGGAGAAAGAAAGTGAAGAGGGAGCGTGGGAAAGAGAGGCTTTGTAATGACTTCCATGTGAGGACAGCCTGGGACCCCTGTCCCCAACCTCATCTCCTTCTATCCTTTCTTTCACTTTATGGTTGGAACACATCATAATTCCCCAACTTGTACACTATTTCAAGCCTCTGGGGTCTTACTTGGACTGCTCTGTGTCCAAGTAGAGAAGTAGAGGTCTTTATACCTCCTTTTGGTACCGCTTGAAAACCCTCTGCCTTATGCCCTAAAAAAAAAGAGAGGAGAAGAGCGTAGATTGGTTTGGCTCAGTGGATAGAGCGTTGGCCGGTGGATTGGAGGGCTGGCAGTTTGATTCCAGCCAAGGACGAGGGGGAGGGGCTTTTGGAGGGGCGGCTTTTTGGAGAGAGGGAGGATCTTTTTGGAGAGGAGAGAGGGAGGAGCTTTTTGGAGAGGAGCAGGTTTTTGGAGAGGAGCAGGTTTTTGGAGAGGAGGAGGCTCTGACTGAACCCACGTGCTTGGTGTGAGCCTGTTCTCACTGCACCACCCCGCCTGCCCTGCACCTCTGCACAGCCTGGTTGGTGTCTGGGTTAGCATCTACCTGTACAGCATCTACCTGTACAAGCCTGTAAGCCATAGCCTTTTCTGCCCATGTCTTTGTGACTAGAACTAATCCATGTTTATGTACTTGTTTTGAATCACTAAATGCGAACAGCAAGTTAGAGAATCTGGCACTCCCATCTTAAGAACAGGACAGTTTCCAGATGGGACTACAGATGTCTCCGTTAGAGTGTGCACTACAGAACAGAGGCCCTGTGGTTCTGACTGAACCCACGCGCTTGGTGTGAGCCTGCTCTCACTGCACCGCCCCGCCCGCCCTGCATCTCTGCACAGCCTGGTTGGTGTCTGGGTTAGCATCTACCTCTACAGCATCTACCTGTACAATGACTAAGAGGGAGAGTAAAAAACAGCTCCCCTGAAAACCACAGGTATTCGTACAGGGACTCCTTTGCATTGAATATGCATTTTCTGATTATCCAGGTGGTTTATGTTTTCTTGCTTTATAGCTAGCCCCTTAAAGCTCCTAACAGCATAATGCAGACAGCAGCTGTATTTTCTCCAAAGGAAGGCAGCAATATAAAACGTCATGTTTATCAAGCCTTGGGATCATGAAAGGGTGTGTTAGCTTGTGTGCACACAGCAGAGATCACAAGGCGAGGTGTTCTGCTAGCAGCAAGAACATCGAGTTAAAACATGGGATCAGGTGATGGGAATGGAGGTCACTTTGAGTGAAGGGGAAAGAAGGCCAGCAGAATTGCGCAGCTGTGTTCCTTATGTTACCTCAGCCTGAGACTTCTTAGCAAAGGAGGAGAGATGTGATTAGAGCTGGATCACAGGACAACTCCACAGTGTGGTGACTCAATTATGGCCGCTGGGAAGCCAGGACAGTTGCACAGTGGCACACGCAACTTTCCTAGCTGCATAATGCTTTTTCTCCAGAATCAAGGCTTTAAAGATTTAACCAAGGTCACCTTTTTAAAAAATTCTGAAAGAATCTTCGTCCTAGATCCACACAAAATTCCACAACTTACGGCTTCATTTAATCATGAGTTGATATAAAAGAGGCGTCTCTTGATTCAAACTTGCAGACAGAAATGCTGTGGGATCTCACCCACTAACCATCACAGCATCCACTGCAGAACTTTCCTTTCTGCACTAAAGTAATGAACACCGGAGAGTAAGGCAGAGGAAGCCCATGATTTCTGCTGGCTGTCTGCACAAGAGCTCCGAGAAGGAAGTATTCTGAATGATTTTCTGCTTTTTTTGGCCACCAAGACAGAACCGTCAAAGGTACTCTGAATAATCACTCTGAGATAGATGACTCCTGGGCAAACTGGAATGCATGGTTATTCCAGCTCTAGACAGAGAAAGCTAATGGTAGAGGGAGCTTTAGAATAATTGATATTGATAAAGTTTCCATTTTACCCTTCCTTCCCAGCTTATTAAAATTTATGGAATATCGTCTCCAAACACCATACAAACCACTTCATACCTGAGACATGGGTGAGTGGGTCACTCCAGCAGAACCTGCAGGGGCTACATCAGGCTTGAAAGGGTCAAAGTCCAGATCCAACAGAGTCTCCTCTTTCTTCACCTCGGGGACTTCATTCTGTTCAAACAAAACAAAGCAAAACATGCACAGCCTGAATCTGATAAGACTTCATCATATAACCCACGTAATCCTCTCATATCAGTCAATATTCCAATGGCAGTTTACTGTTTAGGTGGCTCATCCACTTGCTCCCAGAGTCACTAGCTAAATGTGATGAAAGGGGAAATAACCAACTCTGGCCAAGGAAAACCTGAGATGCCCAGGAACATGGCCCAGGGTTCAGTTGCTGTCCTCTGCCAGCTCCAAGTTCAGCCATCACAGAGAATGTCTGAGAGATGTATCCTACTGCCACAAAGACCTGAGGAATCTTCTTGTCTGCTAGTTCCTATATCTCAGGTCAAGAATTACAGATGATCAGATGGATAAAGTGGGCCAAGGCAGCAACTCATTACAGGAACTCACAGCTATGATGTCCCCTGTGAAGCTAAATTTTATAAGGAAGAAGGGATCATTGTCTACTGTGACCACATCCCACCTGGTTCACCCCCAGTGGTACCCTATCCCTAGAGTTAGTTATCATGTATCCATTCCTCATCCATAATATTGTTTTTCTGGACCGTTGAGTATGAGGGAGGGAGAGTGAAAGGAAGAAAGGGAGGAAGAGAAGAGAACTATGTCCCCCCCAATGTTCATCACAAAATGAGCTCTTCGCCCAATAACATTCTTGGATTAGAGATAAGGTAAGTCAAATAGGACATAGAACAAAAGTCCTACTATGATAATAGCAAAAACTTATTAAAATAAATATTATCATTTGGTCATTTATTATGGTATCATGATATAGGAAAAATAATGCGGGCTTGAAGTTGGCCTAACCCAGGTTCAAGTTACACAGTATGAGGCAGAGCTGAAATAAAGTCCCCATAAACTAGACCATGGTAAAGAGAATTAGGATTGGTTTTCACACAATTCAAGTTACATGTGTTTGATATTTAATATAAGCTTCAATTTTGACCATCTGTTGTATAAATTGAAATTTCACAACAATGGATAAAGTATTATGTGAGAACACAGCTATTTAGAGAAAAACTTTAAAGAACAGGAGTTACTTTAATTAATATCGGTCATAAACATAAAATAATTTAATTCAGGAATGTATGGAAAGCTTGGGCCCATAATAGATAATATATTTTTTTAGTTTATCTACACTCATTGTAGAAGGAAATCTACTTAAATATCATGATGTTGAGCTCTTTCTTGAGTTATCTGTTTTGCAGCATGATTACTCCTCACATATATACTTTTTAAATTTCACAAGGATAATGCTTTACTGAGATCCCGCTTTCTTTACTAGTTACAGTCACAAAACTGTCAACTGATTCCCTTGGCCCCTCTTCAAAGTCTGCATGAGTTTTGTCACCGACTTTTATATTGGTTGGTACAAATTACATTTTTAACATTTTGAAAACACATATTACACTTAGAATGTGCTAGGCAGGCACTGTGGTAATAATTTTATACATATGAACATTAACGCGTGTTCATGCACTTTGCTGCAGTCTAATGACAACAACACTATGGCCCTAAAAGAACTACTTTACTCTATTCCCCAATCCGCGATTTACCTGGCTTGTCTGATCATTACAGAAAATTGAAGGGCAGGCGGCATCCTTTTCCCATTTGGAGATGAGACTGAGCTGAAGGACGTTATCTACTGCCCTGGGTCCCCGCCTGCAACGCCGCTGATCCGGACAGCAGTCCGATACCTGTGACTCCCATGCTCTTCCAAGCTGCCACTGAGATCCGCCCCCACCTCTCTCAAACGGGGGTCCTCAAGATCTGCAGAGGAATCCTCAGTGTTCTGTGAGTCCTCCATAACACTTCAGGCTGCACAAATATATCCGAGTCCCTTATGAGCCTAATGGATCCCCTTAAAGAGGCTCAAATGGGAATTTAGAGATCATGGGTGAAAAGAGGCATTAGACTATAATTGCTATGCTGAGCCTTTCATTGAGATAAATAAATCTGGGTGTGCAGCCCAATTTTGCCACTTACTAGTTGTCTCTCTCTGAGCAATTAATTCAGCTTCATTGAGCTTCATGCATACAATGAAAATAATTTTATCTACTAAGATTACCATGAGTGATAAAGACAACAAATACATTGTACATAAAATATAGGATATACTCAACATGGAAATGGAAGCTAATGTAGTTAATTACTATTAGTAATCATGTATATCCATGTAAAATTATTATCCAATAGCCATAATACTAGTTTGGTTGCCTTTAAAATATGTAGCTGATTTTTTCAGGCTCAATGTATATTTGTTTTTTTTCCCCCTTAATCTTGAGAGTTATACCTTAAGACACTCACATCAAAGAGTAATTTGATAGAATTACACAAAGAGCCAAAAGGGGTTGCCTGTTTACGTCTGCCCTGGAGCCACACAGTGTCTCAGAAAGAGGACAGATTTGCTCATCTCTGAAATAGGGATAATGACCTGAAGACCACAGGAATGTCACGTATGCACCCGGGAAAACCTTCTCGGTGCATCTCAGCTTCCTAGCTTTCGATATTCTGCTTCTTGGCAGCTGGCATCTCATTTTCTCCTGAAATTTCTGTTTATTTTTGAATCGTTTCTCTGTGCATGTCTGAAAACATCACCATTCTGATGAGATAACCCGTTCACTGAGAATATTTAACTTGACATATAATCAGATCAATATACCTAATATCATAAGCACACATGTCCACGTGTATAAGTCCAGCCGCCCTAAGGATAGAACATGTACAGTAAAGTCACATTATATTTAAATGGACAATTGTAAACGGTCCATCATGACATACCCATGACCCAGTTGACTTTTGCCCTGGAAGAAATCTGTTAATTCGCTGTGGTACTTTGTTCATGGCCACAAAACTGTATCATGTGGAAGGAACCCTGATGCTGTAAAACAGTGGTTCTCACATGTGATCTCAAGACCAGCAGTGTCAGCATCACCTGGGAGCGTGTTAGAAAAGCAGATGCTTGGCCCCCAGCCCAGATCTGCTGATCAGACACTGCTGGATGGGACCCAAACGGCCAAAGCAACACAAAATGGCTACATCCTATCTATCGAGGAAGAAGCAAGGAAGGGAATTGTTAGGATGCATCACGGAAAGGCGGTACCTGTAAATTTTAAAATAAAACCAGATTATGTCACTCAAGAAGCTAAAAAGTGATTGAAATATGAAACTTTGCTTCACTCCCTCTCTTGACATCATGACATGAGACTAACAGCCATTGAGTCCATGGAAATGCTGCCATGTGTCCACCTGCTAGAGCAGTGATGGCGAACCTATGACACGCGTGTCAGAGGTGACACGTGAACTCATTTTTTTGGTTGATTTTTCTTCGTTCAATGGCATTTAAATATATAAAATAAATATCAAAAATATAAGTCTTTGTTTTACTATGGTTGCAAATATCAAAAAATTTCTATATGTGACACGGCACCAGAGTTAAGTTAGGGTTTTTCAAAATGCTGACATGCCGAGCTCAAAAGGTTCGCCATCACTGTGCTAGAGCCATGCTGCTTCTCAGATTCAGAAAAAATGACAGAAACGCCTTTCTGCCTCCTCTCCATGTTGAAAGAAAATCATATTAAGGAAACTGAACCCCCAAGCTGCACCCCCAAAATGGCTCCAGTAGGTAGTTTTTGCAAAATCGCCTGGCAGATTGATAAGATGTATGGACGTGACGTACAGCCAGTAAGTTATAAAGGGTACTGGGCCGGAGAGGTTCCCCCTCCCTTCCCAACAACTCCGCAGTCTGCACAAGGACTGGTCATGGCAGCCAGTGCTCTACCAGCTTACTGCCTCCCTGCAGCAGCGGCTGGAGAAGGTTCTGTTTTGAAAGGTGCTTGCTGTCCCTCTCCCCCAGCTCTTGACTTTTCCTGTCACACTCACTCAACAATACCAGCGAAAGTTAATGCTCTCAGAAGTATTAGAGGCCTCTTCGGGCATTTGTAATTTTAAAAACTGCTTTGACCCTTTCCCCCCCTCACCACGAAGGACCCTTATCTATGAGCCAGCAAACTGCAAATAAACACATTTCAAACTGCTGGAGCCCCATCGTTATTTCAGCTCTAGTCCACGTGTCCTGTTTCCTCTACTTCAGTTGCCTCGACTGCTAATGGAGGTGTCCTTAGCTGAGCACACAGGGTACCTAGGTGGCCACGTTCTCTCTTTGTGATACAATTGGAAGGATGTTCTCCAAGGGTCCAGGTGAAAGCAACGTGAGAGTAAGGACGCTATCACCCTAAACACTCTGACTGGAAACTGTAGCAAAGAAGAGAAAGAAGCTGGGCTGTTAGCAAGCAGCTCAAGTTTGGTGCCAGCAGGGTGCTGGGTAAGATCGTTTGGTTCCAGACAGCTATTCCTGGCAGCATCTGTGTCTCCACAGCCATGATTTGTCCTTGTGCTGATAAACATGCAACTCCCCCTCCTCACAGGACCTGCTAGATCTTGTTTCAAACCCTAGGTAGCTTACCAAGTTCAGCAGTTCACACAAATACAGCATTTCATACAGAAGAAGGAGAAAAATTAGCCAAAAGCATGTGTCTCTTGAGAAATGGTCCCCCAAAAGGATGACAAATTATATTTGCCACTGCACTGCTTTTTATTTTCTGAACCCCCAATATCAGTGCATTATTTCTGTTATTATATGTGATTATAATTAGGCTGTTGTGTGCAGTGTTGCTATGGATGTGTTCAGTCATTAAAGTATTGCATTCACACATCCCGCAAAATGTAAATATTATTTCTAATCCTGAGAACACGGGGAGGAATGATATTGGCATGACTGGGGACTTTTCACTCTTAAAACGAAGAGTTGGCTTCGATGACAGGAGGAGCAGCTCTGGAAGTCAAGACCATTCTCAAGGCAATGGGCCAGCCAAGCCACTGGCAGGGACAGGTCTACAGTCCCCTGAGGGTAACCGGGGGTGGAGCACCTGCACCAGGTGTCTTTGAAATCCAGGGCAGCACTGATGGTTCCATGTGCCAAGTCATGTGCACAGATACATTAAAGCCTGCTGAAGGGCAAAGACTTTAAAGACTCACCTCTTTAATTTCACTTTCCCATTCTTTACTGGGCAATCATAGAAAAGAAGTCATAAAGGTGCAAACATGAATTCATTTATATTGATGTTCACCAAAGTGCCGGTGAAATCATGGAAAAATTCAAAGCAAACTGTGGTCACAATCAGAGGCTGCTAAATTCACCTGATAGAATACACTGATTAAACATTTTTTTTAAAAAAAGATAATCCTATGACATGAAAAAATGCTCAGTGAGATTACGTAGAAAAGTCAGGAGTACATAACAATACAATTTGAGTACTGTGGGCAAAATCAGTATATAACTGGGGGTGGCGGGGGGTGGGGGTGGGAAGAAGACCAAAAGAAATAAGTCAAAGCATATTTGTGACTAAATCAGAGCGGTATATTTTCAGTGATTATTAGAATTCTTCATTTTACACTTTTCAGTATTTTCCCATTTTCTACAATAAGTATGTGCTACTTAATCTTAATAACCAAAAATAATGTGAGCATTTTCAAATACTTGAAAATGCTTTAGACAAGCAAACCTGAGTAGCAACTGAAATTATATTGCTGGCTCTAATATCTGCCACTTTCTTTCTTTTTGTTAATCCTCACCTGAGGATATCTTTTCCATTGATTTTTAGAGAGAGTGGAAGGGAGGGGGAGAGACAGAAGGAGAGAAACATCTATGTGAGAGAGAGAGACACCCATTGGTTGGCTCCTGCATGCCCTGACTGGGACAGGAGATCGTGCCTTCAACCCAGGTATGTGCCCTTGAATGGAATCGAACTCAAGACCCTTCGGTCCTGACACTATAACCACTGAGTCAAACTGACTGGGGCTCTGCCACTTTCTTTAGAACTGGCCCCTGAGAGTCCCTCCGCCATGCTACTTTATGGACATCCCACCTCTGTACGAGGCCCTCACCTGGGAAGGTGTTGTCACGCTGATTTCTGGAACAAAGTTGTCCTCAAAGAAACTGATGATGTTCTCCTGCTGCAGTTCCTTTGTCGGGGTGACTTTAGGCAGAGGTGGGACAGGTGGTCCTTTCCTCGTCTATAAGGCAATAAACACAAACAATACTTAATTCAGCCAAAGATGACATGTGAGACATGCAGAAATCTCATGTGAACAGAGCTGGGAGGACAGATAGATCACTAACCGAAATGCAGATCTGCACATAGAAACAAACCTACCTGATTCGGGTAAACAATGTCATTTGTGTGGGTGTCTCTCTGAGCACTGACAAGCCCTGGTCCAATAAAAAAATTCGGGCTCTAAGGCTCCATTCACCACAACACAAGAGCTACACACAGGGCCCGAGGCAGGTGCCTGTGACTCCAAGGTTAAACGAAGGCAATACCTTCTCTGAAGCAACTGAAAATGACTTCTTAATTCAGCAATAAATTAAAATTTTTAAATTAAAGTCAAGCAAGTTTTTCACTGGAATTGGTGAGACTACATACAGGGAGCAAATATTTCATTTTCCACTCCAATATTTTCCAAAGGATTTTAAGGGTCTATCTGTTCCATATATCTTCCTGGGACTCTCCCGACTTACTGTCAGCCGTATACATGAAAGCTTGAACTGCCCTGGAGACTTCAAGATTTCTCAATGGAATTTCATTTTCACCCAAAGTAAGAAAGAAATGGGTGGCAAATTTTCTCTATATTTGCCTTTCCCTGGCCTTTACAGTTTCTTTCAATCATTTGCTTCCTACACTTTTGTCAAGTGTTTATTCATGTACAATATAGGGCGGGTGATACAAAAAGTGTGAAGCCTGGCCAGCGTGGCTCAGTGGTTGAGCGTAACCTATGAACCAGGAGGTCATAGTTCAATTCCCAGTCAGGGCACATGCCAGGGTTGTGGGCTCAATCCCCAGTGTGGGGCATGCAGGAGGCAGCCGATCAATGATTCTCTCTCATCATTGATGTTTCTATCTCGCTCTCCCTCTCCCTTCCTCTCTGAAATCAATAAATATATATATATATATATTTAAAAGCGTGAAATCGCATATACACAAAAGAGCTTTTCATGTCTATAAATTGCCCCAAATGTTACCTAAAGCACTACAGGAGGGAGGTTTCACAGAGAAGGTAGGATTACACGAAGCTCTAGGAAACGAAGCAAGAGATAGGAGCAGAGGAGAGTAGGGGAGCCTGAGATAAACGCTCAGGTATAGGGTGTGCCAGGAAATAAAAATCCAAGTAAGAAAAATGATTGACTCCTTAGTGACAATCACAATGCCTAAAGCTTCACCCCTCAAAATCTCCCAACCAGAAACTCCTCTCCATGCCCCAGCACCACAGGGCTATCCCAGATGGGTCACTCCACCACACGCTCTTCTAGTCACCGCAATGTGTCTGCTCTCTTCCTACCTGAGAAGGTGACCGAGGCCGTGCTGGTGCGGGAGATGCAGGCGCCAGCGTATGATTGGGACTGGCTGTCGGGCTCGGGAGGGGTGAAGGCTCCTCGGGCGGTGATGGTGTCTTTGCAATGCGGAGAGGACCCGAGTCACTAGATGAACACAGGAGATGTGAGCAAGGGGCCTTCTAAGGAGCAGTATTTATTTATCAGGGTTCCTTCACTCCAGAGAAATCCTGAGCCCTAACAGCTATTATTTATCTACTCCCCCTTCCAGGTTAATTCTGATACTTATGAACGTTGATGTAATAACTAGTACCACTTATTGACCACTGTGTGCCAGACCCTGTCCATAATTATCTCTAATCACCACAATACACATGCAGAGGGGTTAAAAATCCCTAAAGTCACTCGACAATTTACTGGATCTGAATTCAGGCCTTACTAATGCAACCCTTGATCTTTCCACTGACCCAAACAGGCCCTGTAAGAATCTTTCAAACATAAGCTGAATTGAATGAACTAATCTCACTTTTGATTTACAGGAGAATCTTGCTATGTCGTAATCTATAGAAAAACCTTCCTTAAAAAGTATAACTTTTATGTTAAAAGGCATCCTTAGGGTAATGTTAATTAAAATTTCGTAGGAATGGTTCCTGATACCATTTGGAAATTCATTTCATTAACTGTTTCTGCTTCCACACCTTAAAGAGCAATGACTCGGCTCAGGCACCTTGAAATGTGCAAACAAATTATGTGATGGACCAGAGTCAGAAATATTTACTGACAACCCACCACATCCATGGCACCAGGCCAGGTGCTAGTGAACAGCCCAAATTTAATGACTAAGAGGGCATTTGGGATGCATTCTGCTCTCTAAGAATTTCAAAAGTCTGTAGCTGAGGGAACAGGACCTGCATCCCAAACCAAATGAGCATGTACACAGCAGCATGGTCTACAGGGGAATGGGTCCTACAGAGAGAATAAGGCCACACCCCAGGACCGGGCCATGGGCCAGCCATCACAGCCTCTGTCGGGAAGCCCCGCCCCAGTCTATGCTTAACTGAGATAGATGCCACTGAGCTCACTCACCACCTCGTTCTGCAGAGGAACATTGAACAAAAAGTGGAAGGAACATTTGTTAAATGACCATGGCCCCACTCTCTCCATTTTATCTGACTTATCAACTTTGAAGTTTTCAGATGCATTTATCCCTTTCATCTCTCCATAAGGGAGCAATCCTTAATTTTGTTGATGTATTGTATTTCTAAAACACCCAAATGTCATTTTGATATTACTTCTTACTTTGTTCCTAGCTGTATTGGAAACAGTAGCTCTACCCATTTCATGCATTCCTTTAGGAAATATTCTTTCCCTTAGAAGGAGAAGATACACTTCATGCCCACTTAGTACATACAGAAGCCATAGCAGAGACTATGAATACAGCTAATGCAAAGAGCAACGATAAGAATATCAGCTTCCTCCAGAGAGACCTCACACTGACAGATGGAGATGGTGGGGCATATATTTCTATATATTTATAGAAATATATGTATTCACATGCTCTATATATTTATAGAAATATATGTATTTCTATAAATGTATGTGTATGAATGTATACATTGATGTTAAAATTGCAAATGTAGAATGTCACACTGCCTATTAACACTGTTTATTCCAATAGCATCTTTCCCCCCTACTGATTGAAAAAATGAGATCTTTAACCAGAGAGGTTCTTGGACTTAAGAAAAGCAATGCATGTTAACTACATGTAGAGTCATAAAACTGAAAGCTGGGTCTTTGGACTTCCAGCCCAAGGCCTGCATTCCTTGAGTATATAATGCCTGCCATGGATAGAATAAAAGAGATTCCAAAATCACAGGAGAAAGCTGATATAAAGCCAAACGACCCTGGCAACACAGATACTTCGCCTGTGGATCACTGGACCTTTGGTGTACTTACTTGATTGGCACACTCAAAATAACCATACGCAATACAAGCAAAGCAATGCTGTGTTTGTCAGGTGGAGTTAGGAGGCAAGATGATGGTGAGGTCTCACCTACTTTCTCTTTCCTTTCTGAAAATGGATTCTTTAAGTATGTCACCACCAACGATAAATATCAGGGTTAACTGTTATGAGTTTGGGGAATTCCTTTCTTCTCCAAAGAAAGAACAAGTGCACAGCTAGAAATTATATGTTAAAAATTTATACCATTGCTCTCAGTTCCCATGGAATGCCAAGAGGCAGACAGTCAATTCTATGGTGAAGATGAGAAAAGGCTATGGTGGGTAAATCTGGAGGCTGAAGGTAAATGTGAAAAAGCAGCCCAGCTGGTGTGGCTCAGTGGTTGAGCATCAACCTATTAACCAGGAGGTCAGGGTTCGATTCCCAGTCAGGGCACATGCCCAGGTTTCAGGCTTGGTCCCCAGTGTGGGGCATGCAGGAGGCAGCCAATCAATGATTCTCCTTCACCATTGATATTTCTATCTCTCTCTCTCCCTTCCTTTCTGAAATCAATAAAAATATATCTTTTAAAAAATATGAAAAAGCATAAAACTAAGTAAAGCTGGTGTCTGCCTCTATAAGGAAAGGCTCCTTCATTTTAGATTTTTATAGGATGAGTAAAATAGCATAGGCTGATACAGACTGCAGAAATTGCAACAAGCATTGCATTAAAAGTGAACAGCCATGAACGTGACTCTGATGAACAAGGCCTACCTGGGAGCACCTTGAATGGTGAAGGCCTTGTCAGCATGCTGGTCGCCCAGTTTCGTCATCACTTCATACAGTTTGTGGCAAAGCTAAGGGGACAGAGGCCACCTGTCTATTAGCTGCAAATCATTTTGATGCCTACTCGGGCTATTGCCCCCCAAAAAGGTTTATTGAAAAGTTAGAATTTGTGTCAAAAAGGTCACAAACACAAAAAAACTTTAAAAACTTTAAACATATTTCTTAACCAGAGTACAGAACAGAAAACAAAAAAAATTAACTGTTTACATGGACTCTAAACATATTTCTTAACCAGAGTACAGAACAGAAAACAAACAAAAAAAATAACTGTTTATATGGACTCTCCTAGAGATAAAGTCGTACAAACAACCAGCTGCTAAACCAAGAGAACACCAATGGACAGCACATCTGCTGATTATCTGAATATTTGGAGACATACTTTCCTCAGCTTAAAGTATCACTTGAAACTCCAACATTAAAAACTGATTGAAAAACGAACAAACCCAAAACTCTGAAACTGTGACAATGACAAAAGTAATTTCAGAAGAGAAATCAAAGAAGCAAGTGATTCGTGAGAGCATGTTTGTATGCCCACGCACTAAAATCTTTGTCAGATATAGAGAACTATGTGGTCATAACAAAAAATTTGTAGAAATATTACTAAGAGTAATAATACACTATTTAAAACAACATGCAAGTGAACGCATTCTTTGTATAATGCTATGCCACTTCATTTGCTTCCAGAATAAATGTTCATTACTTTATATTCCATATGTAAAAGTAATCATCATTACTCACCACGGCAATTTCCTTATGAAACTTGGCCTCAAGGCTAGAGACATTTTTGAAGGTATTGACATAGAATCCAACTCGTCTACCATGTGGAGATACCAAGAGGAAAGAATAGAAGGGAAAGACCAGTGAGCAAAACTGTATTTTAAATAAATATTTATTGTTGAAAGTATTACATATGTCCCCCCACTTCCCCCATTGACCCCTTCTAGCCTGACCCTGCTCCAAGCTCAGGCCTTCACATTATATAAACATACGTAAACATATATTAATAAAGAAAATCCTGGTACAGGGTGCTTGGGAAATAGTAAGTACTAAAGAGAGTCAGACCAGAAGCCAAGGAGACAGAGCCTGGTGGTGTAGACCTGTGCTCTGAGACAGAGGACCTGCCTGACTGCAAAGCACAGCGTTTATCTGCAGGCAATGGTTATTGGTGGCCTCTGGCCATGTTTGCGAGAGGGGAAAGGAGAGGGCCTGGATGTGCATTTGAGAAAGGAACTAAGGCAAAAGCTGCATAGGAGAGGAGAGACTGCAGATGCCGACAACCGTGCAGGGGACCCGACTCATTGTACTGTTGGCAGAGAAGTCTTCTTGGGCACTTTATGTGACAACTCAGCACCCCTTTTCCAGGACCCCAGTTAACCAGTCAGTGATTCCTCATACCTCCCCTCCATTACTCAAAAAGGGCTTATCCAACACTGGGTGCATGCCTGGTGGTGGGCTAAGGTGGCTCCAGGAACTAACAATCTCATTAGAGGAGACTGATTAATGAACACAGGCTCCATTAATACTGGTAAGGGAAAGAAGCAGGGTGTAAATGTTAAAGTTATCACAAAGGCCATACATGACTAAATATCAATAATAATTAGATTGGACAGAAACAGCTAAAGGAACTGGAGAGGTGAGGGGAATAAGGAGCCCTGTGCCAGCTGCGAACATCTGTTTGAGAAGACAAACATAGGCTGTCCTGAAGAGCAGGTCAGATTTAAACAGAAGGTGGGTGCAGACGGGAGGAGGTAGCTGAAGTTGATTGATGAATACTGTTTTATTTTCATTAATATGTCACTATGATGAACCAAACCCTAATGAAGATCTATGAATTAAAATGTGCATAGCTTTACCATTTATTTCCTTAGAATAAGTTTCTTGAGTGTAAATGCTATGTGAGAGGGTATCCTTGTAAACTTCAGGGTTAAGGGAAATTCTCCTAATGCCTTTAATTGAGATTCGAGTCTCCACTTGATAACTATATCAAGGTTTAACTGTGACATCCAATATGGCAACTGCTAGCTATGTGAGGTTATTTAAATCTAAGTGAATCAAACCTAAATAAGCTTAATTTAAAATTCAGTTACATTCCAAGTACTCAACAGCCAGCCACATGTGGCAAGTATCTCTCATATGGGAAAGCTAGACTATAGAACACTTCCACTGACAGCGCTGAACTGTCACAGGCAACAAGGGCAAGATACGGCATATTCACTGTATATTCGTTGTTCTTAAACTTCTAAAAGGGACAGGTACAACCTGTACAAAAACATCTTTACCTTGACCATAATGATGGTAACTCCTCTTGCAAGTCAACGTTAAACTCTTCAAACACTTTCTGTGCTTTCTGAAATTCCTCTTCTGCCTAGAAATGACACATAACATGTGTTCACACTAAAAAAAAATCACATAACACAAGCCATTTCAACTTAATCATCTATACTAATAAAAGGATAATATGCAAATGGTCGGGATGCCCTCACGCGTAACGACCAATCAGCTGGAGGCTGCATGCGCAGCAGGCACGGGTGGGCGGGGACTTGCAGTATCAGGGTGGGGCACGGCTGAGGCCTCTCCGCGTGCCTGCGTCGGGGGTCCGCAGGCCTCCGCTGTGGCCAGGCCCGGGGTCCACAGGCCTCCCCTGGCTCTGGCCTACCTCTTTGGGGCAATCCATCAAGGAGCCCCGGATGGGTGGGCGGGGCCTACCTCTTTGGGGCAATGGATCACGGGGCTCCCACACTGTAACAGGGCACAGGCCAGGCTGGGAACCCCTCCTCCCCTGAGTGCACAAATTTCATGCACCGGGCCACTACTAGTTTAATATAAAATAGGAATCACTTTATGGAATCCTGAAAACATTTTGGGTAGAAGAAAAATCACTCTGCTTATTACCTACATAATTTTTTTTAATAAATGTGAAATATTAAGTTTTAGGAAAACTGAATTGAATACAATGGGTGCTCTTACATTCTCTGGCAGATTCATTCATTCTATAAAAATCTGTTAACGGCCTGTTACACACTGCTCTGGATGAGAATATGGATGCTTCCCTAAGAAACCCTCAGTCTAGTGGGAAGTCTAAATTACATTGAAAGACAGGACTTGTAAAATGTTATGAAGTATGTTGTTGTGGAAGATGGTGGAAAGAAAGGTTCCATAGAGAAGGTAATATTTTTTAACTGAATCTTGAAGGGAGAGGCTAAAGCATTGCAATATATAAAGATAGAGTTCCTTGGGTTGGAATTTCAGCGCACTAACCTTGTGAATTTGTCTTATCACTTTTTACCTCAGCTACCTCATTTATAAAATGGAGGTAGTAATGCCCACTGACAGGTGGTGCGAGTATTAAGGAAAGGTGATGTAGATGAAGTCTTGAACATGTGGCTGGTATCTCTGAGGCCTCACATGAAGAACAGCTGTTATTGTGGCTGCTCAGGAACTGATATGTAGGTCATGGAGCCTCTAGCTCAGGATGTGTGCACAGAAGGAGAGGAGAGGAAAAAAATTCATGGAAGTTGATAAGGATAAAGGGATGAGTCACAACCAAATAGAGAAGGTTGCACATGCTGTGCTAAGCAATTTAAAATTTTTCTACAGGCAATGGAAGCCATTAAAAGACGTAAGCAATGAGAAACATATCTAAATATGTGCTGTAGGAAGACCAGGCAGCTGTGTGTAGGCAGATAGGAGGAAGCAAGACTGGAAGAGAAGGGAGTAGTTATCAGGTGTAATACATTAAGTGGCATCTGTAAATGTATGACATACCGTAAAAGTTACTAAAATGGGTTTCCTAAAAGAAAATGAATGCTATGCAAATCTAGCACATGTCTGTACTCTCAATCAAGTTATGTCTGAGATTTTCAAACTCGGTTCCCTATCTGCATCTGCATTTTAGCATCAAGGGTGGAGCACAAACACAGAGAGAAGTACAAGAACAAATTACTTTCTCTGATCCTACAGCATTGTTGGGGGGCAAAGTCTATTCTGACCAAAATGCATGAGTCGTGTCACCCATGAGAACTCTACAATAACATCAAAAACCTTATCTTTAACTAAAACTTATGGAAAGCAGCCCACAAGGACCATGTTTCAGTTTAAATTCCGTCCTGATCCCAATATCCTTTAAAAAGGAAATATTTCATTTTTAGAAGCAAAGTTGCTATAGGTCACAGAATATGGAATGGTTTCAACAGAAAGATCACTCCCTACCTTAGAGATTCGACTCTCGTCCTTCCTCTTGGAGCTCTGCAAAGCCTCCAGGTGGTGGCGGGCACTGTCATAGTCAACCAGCTTCCTGCTGCGCTTGGCAATGCGATTCTGCCGATGGAAAATATGTGCGTGAAGAAAGAGACCTGGTGAGATTTTTTTTTTAATTTATTTTTTTTACTGCTAAAATGCTTTCTTTGTCCAGAGTAGCTGAGATCTTAGCTGGAGATCAAGGTGAACTGGAATTTTAATAGACCAGTGACCCCTGGAAATCAGACTACTGCCTTCAATCATTTGTGTGAAAACCATTAGGTAAATAGCTTCCCTTCTGATAAAAATCAAACCAGTCATGAGGAGTGGAAAGCAGAATTTATAGTCAAAGACCAGAAAAATTCTAGTAGTGGTTGAGAGAAGCAGGTAAACCTATTCACTTGATTAGCCTGTATTTTAAATCTTTAAATGTTCTATTTTCAAAATAGTAAAAGACTATAGTAGAATTAGCTTTATAATTCTAATTACACTCGCACCAACAGCAGTTCTACAAAGCAGATTTATAAAGCAGTTCTATATTTATAAAGCAGTTCTCTAAAGTAGATTCTTAGGAATAAAAATCCTTTTTCTTAGACGTGTTCCTCAATCTGTTTGTTCATTGGAGTCATCTCAGGAGCTTAAAAAATACATGGATTCCTAGAGACTTCTGCCCTCAGGACACAGAGAGCTGCAAAGAATATCCCTCCCACATAAACAAGAACAAATCTGAATAATCCATAACAACATAATTTTCTTGATTGTATCAGAGACCTGAGGTCACAAGGCAATAAAATAATCTGAATTCTAAAGAGGGGCAAGTCCCTCCAATGAAAAAAGAGACATGCGAGCCATTTCACCTTGGCAGGGCACAGGTAAAAGTTGTCTCCTAGATGCAAATGCGTAAGAAGAGGTCAACTAAAATTTTAACAAATCATCAAAGCCTTAGTGGGCGCTAACATGTAGTTTAGAATAGTTGGGTGTCAAGACACAAGGGGACATTGCATTTATGGGGAGCCCTTTCCTTGGGCCTCTACTCAATGTATCAGAAGGTTGAGGACAAGAAACTCCCTTGCAGTGCGGGGAGAATGAGGGGACCTCTGACTGCTGGGGGTGGACACAAAGCCCTAACCGATTCCACAGACCTTTTCCTCTTACAGAGCAAACGCTTTAAGCTGTTGGAGGAGATAGCAACAGATCCTCTCGCCTGCAGAGGCCAGGTGAAGATCTGCTGCTTCTGAGGAGTAGAAGCAAAACCAATCTGCTCTGGTGACAGGATAGAACCCCTCTGGCCCCTAGAATGCCTGCAGAGATAACTGCTACCCAGAGGGTAAGTGGCCACCCATGTGGGAAAGACATAAAATCTTCTTGTGTCCAAGATATGACAGAGGGGGGTTCTCACGAGGGCAGAGGCAGAAAACTACTGCTCAAGACCAACCACAGGTACACGGTAAAGTCCACCTAACACAAGGACAAGAGAGTATAACAGAAAACAGCCCCGCTCCCACTACCAGTCTAGTACTGAAAACAAGCGATAGTTGCCTACCACTGGAGGAAAGACAAGTTCATAGCGAAAGACCACATGCCCTCTGCAATGCAGGCATAAAAGGACAACTTAAATCTGATGGGGAGCAGGAACACTGATGAAAACTCTCTGGCATCCATGGGCCCACAATATGTGAGTCAAAAAAGAAGCAAAAACTAGACTTCAACTTAAGAGTCTGAAAACATTATAGGTGTTTGCACAAGCACAAAGTAGTATAGCCCATAAAGCAGTGGTTCTCAACCTCTGGCCCTTTAAATACAGTTCCTCATGTTGTGACCCAACCATAAAATTATTTTCGTTGCTACTTCATAACTGTAATGTTGCTACTGTTATGAATCGTCATGTAAATATCTGATATGCAGGATGGTCTTAGGCAACCCCTGTGAAAGGGTCGTTCGACCGCCAAAGGGGTCCCGACCCACAGGTTGAGAACCGCTGCCATAAAGGATTCTGAAAGCCAGAGTGCACTGAAAGTAACAACGACAACAAAACCCAAACCCAGCGCAAGTTACAGTTACATTGATTTGAACTCCCACACCAATAGTCTGACAAAAAAGACATAAATATTACTTCAATCTTTACTTTTCTATATATGCTGTGAAGCATTCAATAAAAAATTATGAAATAGGACCCATAAGAAATGAATAACAACCCATAAGAGAAGATATTAGAGGTTACTCTAATTTGTCCAGAATTGCTTAGGAAGTCTAATTTATCATTTCCCAAATGATAAATTAGATAACAGCTCCCCTACCCACCAGTGCCTAGAGGAGGGTGAGGCAAGTGAGACACCTAGGGCACAAATCTTAAGAGGCTCTCACCCTCAGGATCATGTAAGTGCAGGATCACCTACCAGGAAGAGGTGCTTCCTAATAATTTTGAATCCTAATGGCCTCAATTGCCTCACTTAGTCCCAGACCTACTCCCAACTCTTGGTAGAACTTCTACCAGCTCCCATATTTCTCTGGCAGACTATCATTCAATTATTACCATCTGTCACTCTATGATATTCCTCTACACACCCTTCAGGGCTGGTGATAGGTGGGCTGGGGAAGTTTCTCTCATTCCAATCTCTTTCATTTTACCCTCTGTACCTACCATTTCCAGCTGTTGTTAGTAGTGGAAAGTATGGTTGACACACCACATTCACTTAAAAATATGTGATGAATAAGCCCAGACCGGGTAAAAAGAGTCCTTCAATAAAATATGGTGGATACAATGGCCTATGGGATGACAGAGCTAATCATTTTTAGCAAATATCTGTTATATCCAAAGGAAAACTGTCCTTTGAAACAGTGGCCTTGTGTAACTATAGGCAAACTTATATAAAGCTCTGCTTTGTGGACTTTGCTCCAAGAAGCAAAACCTTGATTCTCTGAAGATGAATTAGATTTTCGAAAGCAGCCAAAATTCAATTACTTCCAAGCCTGGGAATAAGATGAAATAGTGCACTGGGTCATCTTAGATTTTGTTCAAAACAAGAAGTGAAGTAAATAATGTGGCTTATTTTTGTGTGAGACAAGTCAATTACAGAGTACAACTCACCATGTAGAAGTGACTATGTTGAAGGCCATTCCTCATTTTGATGCAGACAGTTTTGCATTAGAAAAACAAATCAATCTTATTTCCTTATCTATCTGATATTTGGAAAACTTGAAAACAGAGAACCGAATCTCCTAAGTAAGGGTAGAGTTAATGCACTTTAGCTTTTATATAGAAAATGATACAATTCTTATTTCATCCATCCAACCCAATCTAAATTTCTTTAGATTTCCCACTGTGTACTGACCTTATGCAGTAAAAAAAAAAAAGTATTTTACTGAATTTTAAAAATTTCTATAATTACCCCAGTTTGGGATTCATTTTGGCACCATGCTGTAAATATATAATTAGTTGCTCATGCTTGGTCGCTAGATAGAATCTAAACTACATTTTACAATAACTGCTCACAGCTGTAAGCCTGCCTGGGTTAGTGACAAGCTGGCTCTTATTACAACATTGGTTTCAGACATTAATGCTGCATAATAAGAACCATAACATTGGGTGCCCTGCCAATCACAGTTGGAGAAGTCAAACATATCCCCTCATGAATGGTACTCCATAGACCTCACTGATGAGCTGCAGTAAATATTTGGAAATTTGCCTGAAGTTTTAAGACACATGGCCTGTTGATTTTAATGGGAGGGAAGGAAGTCAACTGTGTTCCATGCTGTGAAAATTCTCCACTCAGTATTTTTAATCATAATCCTCCTTTCCATTAATAACCCATTCATTCCATAACCACTTGGCACTAACTTTTTAAAGAAATCAAGTCTATATCCACTTCTAACTTCCTTTTCACAGGAAAGTCTTTCAAGTATCAGAAACAGCTATCTGCCCCCTCCCCTCTCCAATTCCAAATTGTTTCCTTTCCAAGTTAAACATTGCATTTCCTCAACTCTTTGTCATAGGACACGGTTGCACAATTTTCTATCTGGGTTGAAACTCTATGTGTATGCTACAGCAAGAGAGAGAGATTGTTTCAGCCTCGTTCCATGATACAGGTAAAACCAAGATATATATTTCATTTATCTTCAGTGTATCAACACAGATATTATTCCAAATCTCTAGTGTAAAGACATTTCAGTAACTGGAGGACCACCTTTTGAGCTCAGCGTGTCAGTATTTTGAAAAACCCTAACTTAACTCTGGTGCCGTGTCACATATAGAAAATTTTTGATATTTGCAGTCATAGTAAAACAAAGACTTATATTTTTGATATTTATTTTATATATTTAAATGCTATTTAACAAAGAAAAATCAACCAAAAAAATGAGTTCGCATGTCACCTCTGACACGCGTGTCATAGGTTCGCCATCACTGGCTTAAGTAAAAGTGCTACTGAGTCCTTCATCTTTCTGACATGGAACACACTAAAAAGATATAGTCCACATAGATTGGTTGTCTCCTGCATGAGCCCTGACCAGGGCCCGGCTGGGGAGGAGCCTGCAACCAGGGTATGTGCCCTTGACCAAAATTGAACCCGGGACCCTTTGATCTGCAGGCTGACGCTTTCTCCACTGAGCCAAACCAGCTAGGGCAAAACTGAGATTCTTCACATTTTTTTTGATGACACTAAATTTTTGCTGTGAAACTCTACAACTTTTCTTATGTGTCTTCTATAGTCAGTCACTACCTTCATTGGTTTTGCGAAGTCATACATGAGTATATATATGAACAATTTAGACACATCGTCACAAGCTGCTTGGGAAATTTCAAGTAGGAGAACAAAAAGTCAGTCACTACCTTCATTGGTTTTGCGAAGTCATACTATGAGTATATATATGAACAATTTAGACACATTGTCACAAGCTGCTTGGAAAATTTCAAGTAGGAGAACAAAATTTTCCTTTATCCTCTTCTAATTAGTTGGGAAGTTATTTTTATGGAGGTTAAATTGCCATGCAGTAAATGATATTTTAAAGTGTGATAATGATTCTGAGACTATTTTCTTCACAAATGCTATAAATTCCAAGATGAAATCTGAATATTATCAAATAATTTGAAGATAGCCAAAAACATGCTTCCTGTAGGCTAGTGCATGCGGTCTTACAGAATTAAAAAATGTTTTTAATTTAAATTTTTAATGTTTTATCAAATTAAGAAGACTGACATTTACCTTTTAATTGGATATATTTAGGCAATGGCTCAATAAAGCCTTCTGCTGCTGTTATGATAATTTCTTGAGAATCTATCATTTGGAATTGTTCTCTGTGACATTTTGCCAACAAGGCTAATGTATCTAGTCTGATCCACTTAGGTTCTTGATGGGTGCCCCTGGTATCTCAAAACACACTTTTGAGATGTTGGCCAATAGTGTTAGGAATTCTGGGTGGGCCCACGAAAACTAATTTATTGATATGAAGGCTCTTTGGGCCAAGACGCTTCACGATGTTTCATGGCCAAGGCCAGTGCACGTTACTGCAGATAGTTCCCTGGTGTTTGGCAGTGGCTCCAAAGAAGGCCAGGTAAGAATAGAACTGCCCTAGCCAGTTTGGCTCAGTGGGTAGAGCATTGGCCTGTGGACTGAAGGGTCCCAGGTTCGATTCTGGTCAAGGGCACATGCCCAGTTGCAGGCTCAATCCCCAGTAGGGGGTATGCAGGAGGCAGCCGTCAATGATTCTCAATGATTCTCGCTCATCACTGATGTTTCTATCTCTCTCTTCCTCTCCTTTCCTCTCTGAAATCAATAAAAATATATATTTTTTTTAAAAAAGAATGGAACTTCCCATCAGAAGTCACCTAATAAGAAATTGCAGATGCCCACAGACGCTGGCTCATGGCCTTCTCACCCTAGAGAAAGGAAAATATGTGACTGTCTTACCTGGCACTCTTCTTTGATCAGGGAAAACAATTTTAGGCAACGGGACAGCTTATTAAGGGTACCTTTTGCTATTTACAACCCAGATGGTTTACAAACCATCTTTACCTCCAGGATCAATTCCATATCTGCAATATTCAAACCTTCACCTCTGTATTTCCCTTTCAGTGGCTCCAAGTGTCACATAAGCCAAATGTTTTAGACAAGATATTTTTAGATCCAAATGCAAATGAATTTGAAATGCTTATATCCTATTACAATTGGCCCTTTAACAACACAGATTGGAACTGCACAGGTCCACTTACTTATACGTAGATTTTGTCAATAAATATACGTTGGCTATTCTTACCCTCCAGTTTCACATTTTCAGATTCAACCAAACACAGATCAAAACAGTATTTTCAATCCACTGTTTTGAATTCGCAGTAGAGAGCTGACTGTATGCACTGCTCGACACCGTTTTATATACCGTAAGGCACTTGAGCATCCATGAATTTTGGTATCCTCAGGGGTCCTGGAACCAATCTCCTATGAATACCCAAGGTTAACTGTAGTTGAGTTTTGGGGGCACCAAAAGTTATATGTGGATTTTTTACTGCATGGGGGTCAATACCTCTAAATCCCATGTTGTTCAAGGGTCAAATGTAGTTCAATTTGAAACTGAAATCTCAAGAGAGAAAAAATATGCAGTTGTGCTATGGACACATGCAAAATAAACAGTTCACAAAGAAAGAACAGACTTTGCCCTCACATTTGCAATGAAGTTTCTCCTTTCCTTGTAACTGCTGTTTATTCTAATGGACATTCTTGTCAAATGGTATATAATAAAACATTTTCAAAATAAAAAAGGTTAAAATTTGGTGGGAATCTCTGATTTCTGACTTGATAGCTATAGGATTAAAAAGACTTATGTAGAGAAAAGCTAAAGCAGTTAACGAAAGGGGAAAATTGAATTTTCTAACTACATTTTATTTCAAATGGATAGGATAGAATAAAAAATAGCATTAAATAAATGAAAAGTTACCAACTGTCTTTGACTCCTCCTGCCCATGTTTCAATAAGCACCTGGGACCATTTGGTTCTTTGCTTTATAGACACAGAGTAAAATACCTTTATGTCAGGAAATTGGCCCAGATAGGTATCCAGTGTCAGCAGGGACCCATCCACTAGTTTTTGATGGAAGTCTTCCCATAGCACATCACATTTCTGAAAAAAAAGAGAGAGAAATAAAGAGATAATTGAATACCTTTCACTAAACTTCCAAAAAATTCTGAAACTAAAAAATTAGATAACTAATACGTCCCCAGATAGTAGATGCTAGAAAGAACGTGGATTGTTTAATAATACAATAAAATTTCTAGGCTGTTTGGCTACCAGTTCTAAATGACAATATAGGTTATTTAAAGGTTTAGCTCATTAACAAATTTCTGATGCTGAATTATAAAGAATGTTGACCCCGACCAGCTCAGTGGTTGAGCATTGACCTATGAACCAGGAGGTCACGGTTCAATTCCCAGTCAGGGCACATGCCCAGGGTGCAGGAGGCAGCCGATCAATGATTCTCTCTCAGCATTGATGCTTCTATCTCTCTCTCCCTCTCTCTTTCTCTCTAAAATCAATAAAAAATATATTTAAAAAAAAGAATGTAGATCCCCACATTCTTCACAGGCGACCTTTGGGACTGTGAAGAATTTCACGTAGACTGCTTCCAAAGCCTTCCAGGAAATCAGAAACCACTTCAAACAAACAATAAACCATTGCTGAAGCTTCCACAGAGAGAAAAGAAAATTTACAGTCATAATGGAAAAGCACCTTCCAATTATGATAAAGACACAATGAATAGTAGGTATTATTATTATTATTATTATTATTATTCCTACTACTATTCCTATGTATAGGCATTGGGTTAAATCAGTGATTTTCAACCTGTTTCATCTTTGGCACACATAAATTACTAAAATTCTGTGGCACACCAAAAATATATATTTTTGCTGATCTGACAAAAATAGGTATAATTTTGATTCATTCACACAGGGTGGCTATTATTGTGTAGGCTGTTGTTAATTTTTTTGACAGTCTAAGGAAAAAATGGTCAGTGCCTCTGACTAAATAGTCAGGTACTGCATGTTTTACAAATTCTTGCAGCACACCGGTTGAGGTACACCAATTGAAAATCACCGGGTTAAATACGTATGCATGTACACACGTGTCATCTGATTCTCACAACAGCTTTATGAAGAAAGTCTTATTGTTGCCATTACACAAAAGAGAATACTGAAGCCCAGAGGTGTTACATACCTGTGTACGTACATGGTGCCTGTGAGTGTACACGGTGTCTGTCCCCTCATGATTAAGGCTGAGAAGTGGTAAGAGGGGGTCGGGGAACAGGCTGCGTGAGCAGCATTCAGCGGGAGACTCACAGAAGCCCCCCGAGGCCTCCTGTGTGGGGCCATCCTGGCTCTTACCTCACCAACCGTCTTCACATCTTCCCGCCCATACCAATCAGGCTCATAGACTTCGTGCAGCGACTCGGTGAGCTTCATCGAGGCTTCTTGCATGCCTGGTGTTGGAGAAAAACAACTCCTGTTAGATAGAAACAGGTGAGGAGTTTCTTCCTCCCTCCAAGTGAGAGAAAAATCTTTGTTAATCATTTAAGCAAAAATTGTGGAGGCACAACTGCTAATTGCATCTGTAATTATATCTTTGCTTGAGGGTCTATAAGACTTATCTGGTTATAGTGTGCATTTTCTGTTATTTACGTGATAATGATAGATATCGGGTCTTGACAATATGAACCAGGTGTCCTATTCTGAAAACAACAATAATAAAAATATGTCCTATCATGTGTGCTGTCATTTGTTAAACAGCATGGAACCATAAATGAATAGGACACCTAGAATACCTGTCCATAAAACTACAGACTCCTAAAAATGAAATTAATTTAAATGACTTTAAATACAAGAAATAAAGCATTTTTTTAGAAGCAGATAGAAGCAAAATCAACACAATTTTAGGACATAACCGTTGAAACTGGTTTAAGTGGCCTAACAATTTTTAAAGGGGAAAAGAAAAGGTTTTCTTTTTCCAATATTATTAAAATATATATATACTGTTTTAAATCAGAATATTTTTAACTCTATGGGTCAGAATCCTCCATAGAAAGACATTTGGCTATTAATAATAAGAAAGATATAAAGTTTCCAGGTGCAACATGGTGATATAAATGATCACCAAACCTTTTCTACCCCTCCTTCAAAACAAGGAGGTGAAGTGTGGGTTGCCATGGAGACAGCTCAGACTGAGAACAAACAAGGGGCAATCTTTGGCTGCAGACTTGGAGAAGTGGCTCTCCAGCACCAGTTGGAAGGGGTTACCTGGCTGAGCTGGCTTCTTGGCCTTTGTCACTAGGGGATAGGAAAAGGGGCTGGACAGAGGGAGAGCAGAGGACGATCGAGTGCTATCATTGGAAGCAAAAACACATCTCATAACTTAATGCCAGTGAATCAAAGATAGAAAAGTTTTTGTTAAACTGAAAGCTGCAGCCGTCTAGACTCAGCCGCATACTGGTTGGATTTTAGGGAGTCCATCCTGGGTTCAATTGTGAGAGGAAAAACAAAACAAAAGAAGATGTCTGAAATGACAGAAGTATGTCCTTGCACAGGATGTATAAAAGTCAACATGTGATTTGGTAGTTCCTAGTGCTTTTTCACTCTCCAGGCACAGAACGCCCCCACTTTCCTCCCCCTGAAAAGGTGATTCCTATTTGGTCTTTGCACATTACTGGCTGGAATGTGACCCAGGGCCAGGCCTCGCTCCATGAAGCACATCACTGAGCACGTTGAAGGAGCCCTTTACAACAGACGGAAACACCTTAACACGAGATGAAGCCCAGGCAGACAAGATGGGAAAAACAGTGACGACTCCAGTTCCTGGGGACTCTGAGGAAGCGAGAGTCTTGAAGGTGTGCGGAAAGCCAAAAATCATGCCAACAGCTGCATCAGTCCCCCAGCGCGTGAGGATGCTCTCTCTTGTACGTGTGGTCATTGTGAGGTGGCAGCAACATGACCTCAAGTTTCCACACTCGCCCCTCCCTAAGTATAGGGTGTCCCAAAATTCACGCAAGATTTGAAATTCAATTCAATTGCAAATCCTGGGTGAATTTTGGGACACCATATACAAGCGTCTGTACTAACAACGTACCCCTGCAATTCAGACCACATTGGTCACTGGATGACCCCCCCTTCCATGTTTAGATGTGCAAGTCTTCTGAAGTTTTTTCCTTATAAAGAGCTGTTTAGATAGGTTATTAATGCGTTAGCAGGAAGAAAAGGAAATAATGGTATCACAGGACAAATAACCTTTGTGGTAAAAATAAAACTGTGAATGTAAGCTTAAAATAAAATTCATATGACCTTACTCATTGAGGTTAAAAGCAAAATGTTGCAGTAAATATGTCTAGCAGCCAAAAATAACTACTAATTGCTGTGTGGCTCAGTATGATGGACAATTTGGAAAGAATCTGTTTTGACATAGAAATTGTTTCTAGAACACTCTATACAAAGTACTGGATGGATGTGCAAGTGAACAAGACACATGCCTTGCTCTTAAGGAGCATAGAGACTGACAGGGAGATTTCAGGGACTCAGAATTTACTCTGCTGACAGATATAAGAGGAAAAAAGCTAAAACCTGTTTCCTTTAATCCAATTTGGTGACATTAAAGCAGAATAGATGCCATGTGACATTTAATAATATCTAATAGCTAACATTTTCTTAAAAGATTTGTAATTTTCGTAGAAGAATTCTGTTTTACTATTAGATAGGGACCACTTCCCTCTCTTCAGAATTTTGGACTTTCTCCAAGGCATTTATTGTAACAATCTCTATTTACATTTGCAACCAAATCTGTGAGTCTCTCTTTATCATCAAAGATATGTTGCATAGATTACACGGCTACCTGAATCCTCTTTGCTTAAACTGCCTGAGGGTATATATTTTAGTTAAAAACAATATCAGTTAAAATGATAACCAAAACCAGCTATAAACCACCAATAGAATATCTGAAATATTGTAAGTTTTACCCATTGTTTAGAAAAGAGTTGTTTAAGACGACAGGGGTTGCCTCAGGTAAAAGGAAGTGTTTAGAGCAGTGGTTCTCAACCTTCCTAATGCCGCGACCCTTTAATACAGTTCCTCATGTTGTGGTGACCCCCAACCATAAAATTATTTTCATTGCTAGTTGCTACTGTTATGAATCGTAATGTAAATATCTGATATGCAGGATGTATTTTCATTGTTACAAATGGAACATAATTAAAGCATAGTGATTAATCACAAAAACAATATGTAATTATATATGTGTTTTCCGATGGTCTTAGGTGACCCCTGTGAAAGGGTGGTTCGACCCCCAAAGGGGTTGCGACCCTCAGGTTGAGAACCGCTGACTTAGAGACAGATGTTATGTGTTCATTATCCCTGTGTCTGACCTCCTCCCCTCCCCATATGCCAGTGACTCCTCACTTCAGATCCCCACTTGGATGTCTTACCAGTACCTCTAACTTTCCTGTCAAAACCTGCTCCTCCTCCTCTTCCTCATCCTCATGAATATTGCCCAGTGGTCCCAGTTAGAAAACTGGAAGACCTCTTCCATGCATCCTCCCACACTGAACTTGGCGAGACCAGCCAATTCTGCCTGATTCTCAGATGAAGTCCCTTCCTTCCAGGCCCACTGCCACAACCCTCAAAAGGCACCCATCATCTATTACTTAGATGAGATAAAATAATCCACGCAAACGGTTGAGCAAGTACCTAACACACTGCAAACAGTCAAATGCCAGCCTTCATAAAAACTACTTTTGGAGGCAGTATGGCATAGTAATTAAGATTATTATTTGCAATCAATCGGCCTTTATTAAAATCTTGGTTCCATCATACACCATCTGTGCTATCTTAGGCAAATTACCTAGCTACCCTAAATCTCGTTTTTCCTTTAATACAGTTCCTCATGTTGTGGTGACCCCCAACCATAAAATTATTTTCGTTGCTACTTCATAACTGTAATTTTGCTACTGTTATGAATCATAATGTAAATATCTGATATGCAGGATGTATTTTCATTGTTACAAATGGAACATAATTAAAGCATAGTGATTAATCACAAAAACAATATGTAATTATATATGTGTTTTCCGATGGTCTTAGGTGACCCCTGTGAAAGGGTGGTTCGACCCCCAAAGGGGTTGCGACCCTCAGGTTGAGAACCGCTGACTTAGAGACAGATGTTATGTGTTCATTATCCCTGTGTCTGACCTCCTCCCCTCCCCATATGCCAGTGACTCCTCACTTCAGATCCCCACTTGGATGTCTTACCAGTACCTCTAACTTTCCTGTCAAAACCTGCTCCTCCTCCTCTTCCTCATCCTCATGAATATTGCCCAGAAAACTGGAAGACCTCTTCCATGCATCCTCCCACACTGAACTTGGCGAGACCAGCCAATTCTGCCTGATTCTCAGATGAAGTCCCTTCCTTCCAGGCCCACTGCCACAACCCTCAAAAGGCACCCATCATCTATTACTTAGATGAGATAAAATAATCCACGCAAACGGTTGAGCAAGTACCTAACACACTGCAAACAGTCAAATGCCAGCCTTCATAAAAACTACTTTTGGAGGCAGTATGGCATAGTAATTAAGATTATTATTTGCAATCAATCGGCCTTTATTAAAATCTTGGTTCCATCATACACCATCTGTGCTATCTTAGGCAAATTACCTAGCTACCCTAAATCTCGTTTTTCCAAAGCATACATTACTGAGCAATAATAGGACTTGCCACAGGTTGCAGTGAGAATCACATGAAATTAAACAGTTAAAGCTTATGTCAGTGCATCACACATAAGAGCTCAATAAATGTTGGCTATTATTCTTATTGTGCTAGACTTCTACGTTTCCTTGGAGTTTCATTTCCTCTAGCCTGAATTCCAAACAACCACAACAATTATTCTTCTAAAATGCTAATCTGATCACATCACTCATTCCCTTTCCTATAATAATGTAATGACACTCTTTCCTCCTACTGGCAGAATAAACTCCCGATATAATATAATACATTAGCACCTCTTTGTACATATGCTGCCTACCTTTCCACGTCTCATGCAGCTGTTTCCTGCTTGCCCCTCACTGATCTACTTGTTCCCTAAAGAGCCCATGCTCCCTCCTGCTTCCGGAGCTTTTGTACATGATGCTCCTTCCAATACCAACCTCTTTCTTTGGTATATCTTACAACCTGATGACCAGGTATGTTCTCTTTCTTGGTCCATTCAAGTGGAAGTTCCTAGGAAAGACAATTCCTGACCTGGCATCCTGTCCCTTACGTAGTAGAGTGGGGCTCTGCCCTCTGTTGTGATGGCACATATGTGGACAGAGCTGACTTCATTTTGAAAAACTGAGTCTATCTTGAATCTAATACACCAGCTTAATTTTTGAGGGAATGAGCCCTAACCTTTGACCCCTGAGTAGACTCTGGAATATGTACAGTGGTTTCGGGCTAGTCACAGAATTTCCATTACTCCTTCCTCTGGGGCAAGGAGCCTCATTGTTATTTACCTCATTAGTTTACCCTAACTACACACACTCCTTTCCTAGTACCTAGCCCCATCTCAAGGCAGAATAAGAGGGTGGTCTAGAGAAGATGAAAGTTGCAGAACTAGGAATGTCCTGCCACCACCCAGGACCCATTTCAGTAAGTAAGTTCCCTATCAAATTCTCTAAATCGACAAGCTGGACTTGTCTGCCTGGTTCTTGGGTCTCTTGGCTCCTTCAGCATCTGGGTGCCACTTGGCACACGCAGCCTTTTCACAGAACAGCACACAATGCTTACTTCTGTTAAAATGCGTATTATGATGCACATCTGCCTTTTTGTTTATTCAACTTTCTCCCCATCTCTCCTGCAGGCTCCCCAACAGCAGGCTGTGTCTTGTTCATCTCTCATCTCCACCCTCTAGAAAGGTGTCAGGCCCATAAGTAAGGCTCAATGTGATGGTTGCTGCTAAAATGAATGAGAGCATAAGATCTACCTTAAAAAGCCCAAGAATGCCATGTAAGATTAGTGATGATGAGTAGAGCTTAACCCAATTTCACAGAATCCCAGGGGTAGAGATTTGGGGGCTTCTAAGAGCAAGTGGAGGACTTTACAGATGAGAGACTCGGTGGTTTTCCCACGATGGTTCCTTTGGTATATCTTATAACCTGATGGTATATCTTAACACCTCTCCAGGGCCCGATCTCGTTCCTCTCTAATCCTGCCTGCAGTATTAGGTGGCTAGATTTCTTTCTGTGAAAACAGAAAAATTGGCCATGAGAGCACTTTGAAAATGCAAATTGTGATCTACTTATCATATACCCCTCATCTTTTAGTGTGTTCCCCAAACCCCACAATGTGCTCCAAGAAATTCTAACTCTGTAAGATTTTGAAAAGAAAAAAGTATCCCACAGTCAAATAACTGGGAAATGCCTCCTACTCCATTAGGCCCTCTGGCAATTGCATTGATATTTTAAGGGTTCTGATAATCTCTGTAGTAACCTGTTTAAAAATTCATTTTAGCCAATCTTGGTCAAAGTAATGTACACCTGAGTCTCTTTTGTGGAGTACCATTTGTTAACATCATCCAGACAGTGAAAGGCGATGGTGGGGGGCGGGGGAGGGACAGAGAAATCCTTTATCCCTCTTCTGGAGCCATGGCCATTAGCAGTGGAGTGAAAGGTTGCTTTGATGATCCGCCCAGTGTCTCTCTGAGCTCACCCTTCACTAAGGGACTTTCCTTCTAGACCACGTTAAGGAAAAGAATTCTGCCAGTCTTCTTAAATAGCATTCTCCACAAAGTGGTAAACTAGACCAAAATATATATATTTTGAGGAAGAGATCCAATTCACTCAATCAACAAATCTTTCCACCTTTTATAAAACCAGCTAACAGAAAAAAAAATTCTGTGTTTGAAATATTATCTAACTAATCCTAAACCAATAATTAAAGAAATTCATAGAGTGCCTCCTATTTTCTGACTGGACTATTCTAATAATAATAGTTGAGGTTAATTATTTAGTGCAGTTAATCATGAAGTCTGTAAGTTTGTGGGAGTAAAATTCTCTGAGCTTTACTTCTTTGCAAATGTAAACCAAGGCTAATGTCAGCCTTGGCTGGGTGGCTCAGTTAGTTGAAGCACCATACCATGCACTAAAGGGTTGCAGGTTCAATTCCCAGTCAAGGGCATTACCTGGCTTGCAGGTTTGATACCCAGCGTGTGCGAGGCAACCAGTCAATGTGTCTCTCCCAAGTTGATGTTGATGTCTCTCTCTCTCTCTCTCTCTCTCTCTCCCTCCCTTTCTCTGCCCCGAGGGGTCCCAGACTGCGAGAGGGCACAGGCCGGGCTGGGGGACCCCTCTCCCCCCGCCCCCCAAGTGCACAAATTTTTGTGCACCGGGCCTCTAGTTCTAATAATAATAGTTGAGGTTAATTATTTAGTGCAGTTAATCATGAAGTCTGTAAGTTTGTGGGAGTAAAATTCTCTGAGCTTTACTTCTTTGCAAATGTAAACCAAGGCTAATGTCAGCCTTGGCTGGGTGGCTCAGTTAGTTGAAGCACCATGCCATGCACTAAAGGGTTGCAGGTTCAATTCCCAGTCAAGGGCATTACCTGGCTTGCAGGTTTGATACCCAGCGTGTGCGAGGCAACCAGTCAATGTGTCTCTCCCAAGTTGATGTTGATGTCTCTCTCTCTCTCTCTATCCCTCCCTTTCTCTGCCCCCTCTTCCTCCCTCCCTTCCACTCTCTCTAAAAATCAATGGAAAAAATATCCTTGGGTGAGGATTAATTTAAAAAAAAAAAGACTTTTGCCAAACTGCTCTCTTGAAAGGGGTCTGTTCCCTACAACTTTGCTGATGCTAGGTACTATGTTTTCATTTTTATTTAAAGTCTTTAAACATTAGGAAGAAAAATAAAATCACCTTCCTTTTGGTTTTATTTATACATCTATAATTTTTTCAACTCATCTTCATTTAGTTTACTTACTGAGCTCTTTATATTTTGGTTCATTTTCACTAAGTGTGTTGCATAAATAATTTTTAAACATACATATATCAGTTTTATATACTTATAAGGTTAAATTTCTCAATCTTTCCCTTTATGTTTTTTGTCTTTGGGTTACCATGGTAAAGACCTTGTCACCCAAGACTAGAGACTAAGTCTATTTTATTTTATCTTATTTTATTATTTTAGAATACCTCTTTGTACCTGTACTTAAATTTTAACTATATTTGGAGTTAAAAAGGAGGGATAGAGTATGAGGATGGGAACCTCACTTTTTTCTGAGTGTTTAGCCAGGTTATCCATTCTCTCCCCACTAATGTCAAAATCTGCCTTGTGATCTATCATACCCTTGGGTACACTAGGATCTGACCCCATGCTGGGAGTTGGATGACACATGGCAGAAAGCAATGGAACCCTCATCCCTAATGCTCTCTCCTTCCTCCACCACTGGCCTCATTTCTTTGCTTCTTATGGCTGAAGCAGAAACCAATGCCAGCGCCCCTCTCTCTCCATACAGTGGCAGGGGTACAGGTGTGGCTGGTCTCCACTAATCACAGATAGTCCAGGGCTGTGACTCCTGATAATTCTCCACTCCTGTCTCTGCCACGATTTTTGCCCCTTTCAACTAGAGCAGCGGTCGCCAACCGGTGGTCTGTGGACCACTGCTGGTCCGTGAGGTCTGAAAGGTTGGTGACCGCTGAACTAGAGGGCTGAAGTGTGACTCTGTGAGTGTTCTCCTGGGACAGTGGTTGGGGCTCACAAGCCACATGCGGCTCTTTGGCCCCTTGAGTGTGGCTCTTCCACAAAATACCGACTTCTGCGCATGAGGCCATGAAGTTTCAATTGCACTGTACGTGCGCGCCCGCATGTGGTATTTTGTGGAAGAGCCACACTCAAGGGGCCAAAGAGCCGCATGTGGCTTGTGAGCCGCAGTTTGCCGACCACTGTCCTGGGACATGCTCTCGCTCAGGATATAAACCAGCTGCAGCTTTTCTTAAACAAGCTCTCGAGCTCGCTCTCACAACTCTTCCTAGAAATCTCTTGCATGTGGGAGGCACTTATTTCTAGTTTCGAGCATCAGGGCAGACATATAGAGCGTCCCCAAATATGTATACACACACTTTGAATAATTATAAAGTCAGTGTTTCTTAAAATACATTTCAGTTTCAGAATTGAGCTATCAGCTGTAAAAGTGTGTATACATTTTTGGGGACACCCTGTATTTTTTTTCTTTGTATATTCTGATGATCACTCCAGTGGGGATTTGGGAGTGGGTGGATTGGAACACCTGTGATCAAGTGCCATCTTGCCAGAAAGCCAAATGGTGGTGTAATTAACACTCAATCTTGCCACTGGTGAATTCCAAGAACAACTTGTGCTTGTAACATTCCGTAAACAACGCACACACGTTACCTTTGATAGCTGCTAAGTATCCTCGGAGTTCCCGCTGAAGTCTGGTACCCTCGGCCTGAAAAACACACGAAGAGATGCTGAGCAGTTTGTCTGTATTCTGCATTGGAACATGTACAAAGCAGTAAGTGTCAGAATTATTATTGCCAGAGGCTCATTCTTGAAGGAACATAAATATGTAGAGCCCAGCTGCTGTGGCCCAGGGGTTGAGCGTCGACCCAGGAACCAAGAGGTCTCTGGTTCCATTGCCAGAGTTGCAGGCTCGATCCCCAGTAGGGGGCATGCAGGAGGCGGCCAATGGATGATGGTTCTCTCTCATGGATGTTTCTATCTCTCTATCCCTGTCCCTTCCTTTCTCTGTCTTAAACTCAATAAAACCATATTAAAAATATGTGGACACAGATTATACAGGATGCCTATAAGTCTAGATATTTACAGATATTTCATTCAGTTTAAAAGAAAAGGACAAAGCAAGCACAATTTTTCTAAGAATGGAAACTGTGGCCCACCATAAGGTTCTTACATATTCAAGAGCTAGCAAGTCTCTAAGTTTTGACACATGGTTATAACTGTTGGAAATTGATCGCCACTGTCCAATATGGTAGCCACTAGCTACATGTGGCTGTTCAGTGCTTGCAACATGACTAGTCTGAATGGAGATGCATTATAAGTGTAAAATCCACACCTGATTTTAGGGACTTTATACAAAAAAGTCATTAATATGTTTTATATTAATTGTATGTTAAAACAATATTTTGGATACACTGAGTTAAACAATTGGGTTGTTAAAATTAATTTCACCTGTTTCTGTTCACTTTTTAAAATGTGGACACTAGAACAATTTAAATTACCTATGTGGTTTGCATTATATTTCTTTTGGACATAATCAGAATAGAGAAATTGGTAAAATGTACATTTTGACATATGAATCTTAGTTTTGTTTTGGATTACCCTTAGAAACTGAGACTCTGAGATTAGGATTAGATTGCAAGTAGTTGAATATGGAGTTAACCCAGGAAATGCCAACAGGGGCATGGAGAAGTGAAGAGGGGAGGGAAGAGAGCCATCACAGGTGCATTATCAAGCAAGTTACCCCGGTGGCCTTAGTCCCACTGGAGAATTCTGGGAGACAGTGTCAAACCCTGTAGATATCCTCAGTGAGGGGCAAAGAAGCTTGGGCATTTATCCATCAGCTCCTGACAGTCATTGGTTGAGAACTGCTCCTGGGACATAATTCCCCCAATATGTCCACACAAGGGCAGAGAGGTCTCCAGTTACCAGAAAAAATCCTCAGGCAAAAAGTTTCCCTTGCTGGCAGTTGCAACTAGATCTAGTGGGCTCAGAAAAGGTAGGTGCTGGGGCATATGTCTGGCATCCACAGTGTGTGCTTTCACTACACCTGAAAATATACAGTGGGGCCTTGACTTACGAGTGTCCCGACTAACGAGTTTTTCGAGATACCAGCCGTCTCTCGGCCGATTTTTTGGTTTGAGTTGAGTTGCGAGCTAAAATTCGGGTTACAAGCCAGCTTCAGATACCCCACCGCTAGTTGGTGCAGCGAACGTCACAGTGATTTGACATACGAGTAACTTGAGTTACAGCTCCGTCACGGAACGAATTAAACTCGTAAGTCAAGGCCCCACTGTAAAAGTATATGTACTTTAACTGCATAATTATTTAACAAAATTGCAGAGAGCTAGCATACTGAGTGACTCCACCTTGATAATTAATAATATAGCATCTATATTATAACTCTAACTTGATCGTTAATAATATAGTTAATAACATAGCAACTCTAATAGTCATAAATAAATAAACAATTATTTGTTAGTATTTACCAAAAAGCAGGGAGGGATGAAGGGAAAATACCTACTTCCTTCAGTGAATTATAATCTAGTAGGGGAAGTAAAATATCTAAATAGAAAACTACAAAGTAGATTACATTTAGCTCTGCAACAGCCATGCAAAATGTTTAGAGGACAAAGCAAAGAAAAATATTCATCAAATTTAAAGATAGTGATTAATACAAAGAAACTCTGAAAAGAAGTGTTTAAGACAGGGGTGGGGAACGTCCACAGGCCGCATAAGGCCCACAAAATCACTTGGTCTGGCCCTGCCAAGGCATTAGAGATGAGTTAATTAAATGCTTGACCAAATATAGCAGACTAATTTTTAAATTGGTAATTTTATATGACCTGCAAATGATGTTATAAATATCCAAATGGCCCTTGGCAGAATAAAGGTTCCACATGCCTGGTTTAATACTATGCTGGTCCCCCAAAGGGATTCTATGTAAGTATATTTTCCTAGTACAGTACAGATATAGTAACATTATTTTTATGAAATATATGTAAAGCTCAGGTGAGGTTTTCTTTTTCTGCATTAAGCTGAAGCTATTTCTGTCAGTTCTGTAAATCCAGGTACTACCAGATAAAAGCTTAGGGTTAATTCATTTGCTAGCACATAATGAACTTCAACCAGAATGGTTTTATTCAGGATGCCAAAGCAGTAATCATCAAAGTTCTAAACAACTAACTCCCTTTATCATCTCTAAACATGGTTTAAAATAAAAACTCTAGATTTCCCTTGTCTTGCTGAGCCATTTAGAAATGTAGTGTGAAGGCAAATTACCATGAGCTAGACCAGTGATGGTGGACCTATGACACGCGTGTCAGAAGTGACACGCGAACTCATTTTTTTGGTTGATTTTTCTTTGTTAAATGGCATTTAAATATATAAAATAAATATCAAAAATATAAATCTTTGTTTTACTATGGTTGCAAATATCAAAAAATTTCTATATGTGACACGGCACCAGAGTTAAGTTAGGGTTTTTCAAAATGCTGACACGCCGAGCTCAAAAGGTTCGCCATCACTGAGCTAGACAATAATAATAATAATAACCCAGGTTGGATTTCCAAAACATCAAAGTGTAGTGGGAAACTAGAGAAAGGATGAGGAGAATAAAGAGAAAATGCTGCTGATAAACACTTGTAAAGATAATGAAAGAGTCAGGCCAAGGTCTGCAACATCACTACAAAAAGTCAGAATTTGGGGAAGAAAGAAACAGGTCTTTCTGCTACTATCTATGATGTGACAGGCACTGTGCTAGATTCTGAATACATAAAATTTTGAAAAGCAATGGCTCTGGGATATTTTATTCTTGTCACATCTACACTGCATCTTTCTTCCAGATCTGTTTTGGGGGAGGATTCTATATTCTTCCCCATTAATATCAAACTTGGCTGTGGGACTTGCCATGTGAGGGGAAGTGGCGTGTGGCTTCTGAGCATCATAGTCTTACCACCTCTTTCCCTACCGAGACCCTGGGCTATTGCAGAGAGGGGTTACTTCTCCATCATGGGTCATAGAGCAAAGGCAACATGAGGCGCATTTACCCTTCACATTTTCTTAAGTGAGAAATAAACATCTGTTGTTCAAAGCCACAGAGGTATTGCTACTACAGCATAACCTACCCAAACAACCTGATACAGTGGTTCACCATCAACAGTGGAAACGCTGCAAGATGGAGGTTGAAATCCAACAGGAAAAAAAAAAAGCCAATGGAATGAGTAAGCAGAAGAGCACTAAAGGCATTTACAAAAACATTTCAGAAAGGAAATCAAATTGGAAAGATCAAAGATAAAGTGGATGGTTTAGCAAATTGAAGCTCTAGTGCTGGTCAAGTGATGGAAAGAGGAAGAATGGTTCGGAGAGAGGACAGCAAGACCCAGAACCATTTGTCACAACAGATGGCAAATAATTTAGAGATATTAGTATCTGTAATTAGATATGTGATTTACCTGGACAGATCTAGACCAATTGGAAGCCTAAAGCCCTAAAAGGTACAATTGGGATTTAAATAGGGTTGGGATCCCCTAAGGCAGTGGTTCTCAACCTTCCTAATGCCGCGACCCTTTAATACAGTTCCTCATGTTGTGGTGACCCCCCAACCATAAAATTATTTTCGTTGCTACTTCATAACTGTAATTTTGCTACTGTTATGAATCGTAATGTAAATATCTGATATGCTATATTTATTTTCCGATGGTCGTGACCCACAGGTTGAGAACCGCTGCTAAGGCCACATTTCTCTAAGTGGTTAAGTGTAGACCTTGGGGGTACTAAATGGCTTGCCTAGGGCACATGCAGCCACAAAATAAACCTACAGCATCTTTCTGGAACAACAATTATTGAGGCTGAAGGGGAGCAAATGGGGAGAAACCGTTATTTTATAACCACTGTGCCACCTGGTGTGATGTAGAAAGAAAAACTGCATAGAGATGAAAAACAGAACTTCCCAGACATCTCCTGCTTTCCGCTGTCTGCTGTAGGGCCTCTGCTCTACCACTGCCCATGGGCCTCCCCTGAAAAATTTGAGAGGCCCTGAGCCAAGACAGGGCTCACTTCTCACCCAAAAGGATGTTTTCCCCTCAGAAAGTAATACAAAGCCAACTATGGTATGGCCATAAGTCACCACAATTGTCCAGAATATCTGGAAATAGCAAAGGAGTAGTGGAGAAGGGTATTCTTCTCCTAACTATTGAGGGAATAAAGTCTGTCAAATGATGCCCACAATGAAGCCATTGGTTTTTCTTTCAGAACAAGAAAGAGAATGATTCATCTAGCCCAAGGAAACAATAATCATTTTTTAAATGAAATAAGAATCCCAAGAAGAGATTTTTTTAGCTATAAGAGTGGAAGAAAGTTCAAATTATACAATAATGGCTTAAACAGATGAGTGAAATTTAAGTAGATAAACTTAAGTTCATTTAAATAACTTTCCTGCCCTGGCCTGGTGGTTCTATTGGTTAGAGCATCCCTGTACACCAAAAAAAAAAAGGTTGTTGGTTGAATTCCAGATCAGGGCACATACCTAGGTTGGGGGTTTGATCCCCAGTTGGGGTATATACGGGGCAGGGGGTGGACCAATCGATGTCTCTATCACCTCTCTCTCTCTCTCTCTCTCTCTCTCTCTCTCTCCTTCCCTTTATCCACAATCAATAAAAACATATACTCAGGTGAGGAGTAAAATAACTCTTTTTTTTCTAATTATTAAAATCCATAATTTTCCCCCTGAGTATGAAGGTTCGTAAATCATTTGGTAATAACCATATTAAATTGCACTTATATTTACCTGAGCCAAAAAAAGTAAAAGACTCTCAAGAGAGATTTTCACCTCCTAGAATATGCCACGGAGTAGTCCTGCACAAAACCTATTGCACAATAAAGTTTTCTTAACACCATTATTCTATGTGAGTTATAAGACGTTTTATGTTTGAAATAAATTCTTATAGCACTGCTATTTCACTGACGTTTGTTCCAAATTCCTCTGAAAATTACCACTTTGGTGATGCAGCCTTGAATATTGCACGCGTGCGTACGAGAAAGAGACGCAAAATTTCACATCCTTGAGACTATATGCATGTTTTCTCCTTTCTTACCTCTACAATGTGAGATAAAATTATTCTTCTGACTCATGGTCACACTATTCTCAGGGCTTAGAGCCACATAACAGCAAATGAGTGTATTATAATTCAGTTGTCTGGTTCCCAACTCATACTCCTCTTTGTCAAGATCCAAGAAGGATTCACCACCTACAGAATCCCTTGCCCTGGCAAATAGTATAATAATGTTACTCTGGTGTTAGAGGTTCTTTGTTTATTTCTTTTCAACTGAATCATTTATCAATGTCAGGAGCTACTACTTCTCCAGCCCAGATGGTCCCTCAGGCCCCTTTCTTCCCACACAGCCCGAGGGAGTAGGCCTGCTTTCCTCTCCTTATTAAAACTACTCCCACCTGCTCCCTCCCTTGGGTGTCACATTCTTGCAGAGCTAGTGAGAAGGAAGCAGTCTCCCTGCTTCCCAGCTATCCTGGAGAACAAGCCAGAGTCGTGTTGGGTTTCATCACGGAGATATCAAAAATTAACAGGCATGCAAAAAAGTACACATGGTTTTAAACCTTATGAAGGTCCGAGAAGCACTGCCTCCAGTCCAAAATTCCCTTTATTCCTTTGCTGAGTGGTATCTCAAAGCTGTTGTTTTCTTCTTATCCTCCTGAGGACTGCTCATGATATCCCCACCAAGGATTAGGGTGAAATTTAAAATCTAACTAAATAGTCAGAGAAAGAATGCAGAAGGTACATCATCACGGGAGGATTCAGATATCTTTGTTACTGAACACAAACAAATCATATTACACACCTAATTAAATGTTTCAGATTCTTTTACAGCAGGTTGGTTCTCAGTAGCACCAATTCCTTAATTATTGATGCTGAAAAAGATGATGAAGATGATGAAGATGATGATGATGAGTGTATGTATCTTGGGGCAAAGGTGGGGGTGGGGGTGGGGCAAAGGGGTGCGGTTCCCAGATTTGCTGGCCTCAGGACATCTCTC